AATAAACACGTCCGCTCAGTTCGACCGCTCGCACGAGAATGAGTAAAAGACGTCGATTTGTGATAACATAACCTCGATTGCTGGATTAATACCACAGATTACAGATTAGAAAGATGATAATTAGTACAAATTTGTTTATCTTTTAGTAAACAATTTATAGGATTCTTGTGATATAACCAAGTTACAGGGGATGAAAAAAAGAAATGTGCCTCACGCACGACAACAAATAGATCCAGCTGATTTTTTGGAAGTCAGCAATATTTTGTTAAACAAATTGCAGCCACATGAAATTGTGGTTGCAAATAAAGCTTGGAATGATTTAATTTGAAGGGCCATTATAACGTTTATAAATAATAGAAATCAATTAAACTAGTTGTCAAGCCAGGTTAAATTTTAACGGCATCTATTTTGGTCCCGCTAAATTTTGACATATTTAGTTAAAACAAACCCATTAAAATTTTTATAGAATACAGTATTGGGCTAAACAATGGAAGGTTAAAATTTTAACTGTGATCTTGACGTTAAAATTTAGTCAAAAGCGTTACAGAATACACCCGTTAAAGGGTCATAAACTCTCATAATGGCTTTGGAAGGATCATCTTGACCTTGGTCTGTTTCCACCGTCGATGTTAAGACGTTGGTTCCCTGCTCGCTGGTGAAGGGGTTTCCAGGTGTCTCATTTACTTCCTGCTTCATGTGAGATCTGAAGGTCGCCAACATAGAAAGCTGCTTCCTCCATAATGAGTTCGATCTGCTTCGGGTGGATGATCCACGCTTTAATTGTTTGTTGTTGTGAGCTATCGGCATTATACTTTTTTTAAACGAGTGAGTTTTTATAATTTAGAGTGTTTGTATGTAACGGATTTTCGACTGTGCCCTGTGTATGATTACACAATTTTTGTTCAGTATTGTCGAGTCCGATACCCTAGTGCCTGAGTGTCGATATCACTGTCTGTTTGCACCGGTTAAAATCACTTAAGTTCGATAGTGTACGGCCTCCTTAGAATGCCGGTACGGTAAGCTTTACGAGCTTTTTGTGTACATGGCAACGTGGGAGATCAGCTTTGTGAGCGTTGTGCTCGGTTTGATCCCCTCCCGCGCTAGCCTAAGGGCCACCTTAGCATAGCGCATCCCAGACTGCATAGCCGCACTGCCCTACCCAACCATACCACACATAAATATGACACCACCCCCGGGGTTTACACAGACGAGCCGGCGAAGCAAGAAGAGCGCCAGAAGAAAGGGCCCTAGCCGGCGGGGCCCAGCCAGGACAAAAGGAGGTCCCACAAAGTGCCTACACCGGCCGCATTTGCGGTCGGGGTAGACGACGGATGGGGCCCACCTACGAAGGCTGTCCAGGCCTACACGAGATGAGGCAGGATAAAGAGGGATAATCCCCCTCGATTCCAAATTATTGAGGCCAATTTCTAGCCATGGAATAATGGCGCGCGCTCGGTTTGAAATTGAGAAAATTTAAGTTTAGTGCACACTCTCACCAGTACAGGTCACCATCCCTGGTTATAAAGTTATTGTAAAAACCAAAGCGGACGTTCGGACGCTAAACGAGTGGAGTGGAGCAGCCAGCTGCGTGGTTCGATTTAGGTACAGGAAACACGGGGCTGAAAATTATTTTAATTAGTACCGACCCTAAGGTCGGTACTAATGCCTGCCTTAGGGAGAGATCAGGCATGCGTTGTCGTCGTCGTATGCGGGAATGAGGGACCTTTGGCGACAATCTCTTCATCCTTGGCGGGTAAATTTTGGAAAGATGCGTGAAATTCTTTTTTTCCCGCGTGATCGGAAGGACATAGGGCTGTGTCAAAGGCGTATCTGCATCGTCTAGGCGGCAATCAGGGCTTCTTCTTCGTCATCGTGGCAGGAGAATTTTCGAAAGATAGGTGAAATTCGTCTGTGCGGTCAAATGAAATTATAATAAACTCTTACTACTACTACTTTTCTATAACGTGTTTTAATTTGGTTACGTTAAACTGGGACACCCTCTATATATTTCTCTATTTTAGTAGCGGCAGACAAATAATTATTCTTTGGCAGAAAAACAAAACAAAAAAAACACTCGGAATTGGGTGTTGACACGCGCTGGCGCCTGCGTGCAGACGATGCCGCCGCACGAGGTTGCTCCCGAATGTAAGCGCCGCCGGCGGCGGCAGTTTTGGCCGTCTCGACGTCGCGGACGGTCCACGATACTGCAGAAGACGTCGCGGGTGAGTGTAACTCTTCGCTGGACTGCAACAGAGGGAGGACAGACTCCAACAGGTTTGTTTTCGTTCTGGGTGACAGTGCTCATGGCAGTTAGCGGTGAGGATGGATATTTTTTTGAATTATACAATTTTTGAGTATCAATATCATAACTGAATAAGAAAAAATATTTGGATTCTAGTCAGTATAAAAAAAAACAATGATAATATGTATTCTGGTTATTAAAAAGTTTTTGTTTGTGGCACTACTTGGTGTCTTAAATTTTTTATCATTTGATCATTCCATTAAAAAAAACACGGCGGGGTGCAGATAAATAAATGCGAAAAAAATTGTGAAGTGGTGCTTAGTTGAATATTAAGAACTATTGAAAAGGATTTATGGATAATTCGGTTACAGAGGTAGAAATAATCACCCCTACAAGTAATTTCTTACCTAACTTGTTCTTTTTTAAATAGAATTGTGTATATTTTTGAATTTTTTGTTTTATTTAAGCGTTACTTTGGTAATAAAATTGGAGCTTTAAGTCATATCGTTTGGATGTCGTTTGACGTTTTTTTTTTAATTAACGTTTGCAACATATTAAATAATTCCAAATATCTCCGAAACTAAGCATGGTAATAAGAAGTGTTTCCATAATTTGTTCAAGCATAGAAAAACATATTCTCTTCATTCTTAAAAACGTTTCAAATATAAAAATACATAGATAAGAAATTACAAACTTTAGAAAGTTTCAGTCACGGACATTTGATTTTTTTAATAAAACCACGAGTTAAATTTAATCGAAAGGAATTTCGATTTTATAAAAGTTTAGTTAGTTTAATAGCAAAACTTTCAAAACTAAAATGAACTATAAAAATGATGTAATATTAGACATATACATATTTATAAGGGTGTGCAAATAATTTTTTTTTGTCAATGAAGACATAACTTTATTGAAATATGATCATAATAGTTAGCATATACTGCACAGAAACATTCTTACCAATAATGAAATAATTAATAACAAGAAAACACACAAAAGTCGTAAGAAAAACAACAAAATTTATAATCTTTTAAAATTTTCATTGAATGTCAAGTATAATGTCTTTGAAAGCTTGCTTTTTCCCATTTTGCATATTTCACGTTGTAAGTGGGAGATGAAGAATAATATGCTCAACTTTTTATAAATCGTTACGAGAAGAAGTAAAGTTTTTTCATAGATGTGGAAAATGTTGAGTTAATTAAAACATTATTTTTTCTATTTTGGATTGGATCTATTATGTGACATATTTTTATATGTGGAAATAGAAAAAAAAAGGAAGCGATTAAAAAACTTGTACGGCAAACTATAAATAATAAACACGAATAAAATTTTTATATCTATCTGTATTCAAGAGAGTTCCATAAAAAAAAACAAATTATCCATGGTCTTCTATTTGAGAAATAGAAAATCAGACGAGTATAATGATTACGATGGGTTTTTCATGCTTGAAGAAATAGTGAAAACCACATCCTATCATATTTATTCTTGGATACTTGATATCTTCTAAAATTCTACGAACGACAATTGAAAAAATCATTCAATGACACCGAAACAGGTTGATATAAACCCAATACTTCTTTATCAACGTAGGCCCTAATTTAAATGAAAAATTGAAAAATTCAACTAACAGAGAAGCTAACAACAAATAAATGGAAGAAACTGCTTTCTGTAAAATGTTTTTGAAGTACGAAAATAAGAGCTGCGTTAGAGTCAGTCTTAAACGAGACACCCTGAGTTACTGGTAACGGATTTTATGACAAGTTTAATACACTATTATAATTTACATTATATTAGTTTTATTTACTGTTGCAGTAATTATTTTGACATTTTGTTGTATAACGTCATATGATATGTTCCAAAAAATTTTTACTTTTTTACTTTTTTTACTTTTTTTTTACTTTTTTATTTAAATTTCTCGTGATACGTACAATTGAAAAAAAAACTGAAAGGTTTTTCTGATATTCTTTTACCGTCTCTTACAATTAGTGATTTGGTTATTTTCTTAACTATAGTCTTGATTCCAGTTCTTATTAAATATTTTGCTTTTTTAAGCCAAAATATTTTTGCTATCAATGAAAAATATATTCATGCTAATTATAACCTTTATCACGCCCCAATCTTGTACTATTTACTTTCTTGACATAGATGTTGCATAAAACCTATACCTCAACAGATTTCTGCAACACAAATAATTTACAAATCCGCATCTACCCTAATTCCGTCGCGTTACACAAAAATAAATTCCGACGTATTTATTTTCTGTCGGCAGACGTACCAAAATAGTCCACCAACATAATAATAAAACACCTCACTCCGAGACGGTCTCTGAAATTACTGGATTTCATATCAACAATTACTGTGATTTTGTCACCTTGACACATTGCCAATAGCCACGATGGTGATAAACAAGGGAATATCAACGTTTCCAATTATCTGAAATTAAAGAAGCGTCAACAGGACAAACTTTTGCATATTTTGATCATTTTACCTCCATCGTACAAAACTACTGGTACGGAAAAAAAGGAATTCGGAACAGGATGGAAATATGACCGGTTGGTTAAAGTTCCTGAAATAAGTGGAATGATACAACTTATCTTATCACCTTCATTTTACATTTTTGATATCCAAAGTAGGTAACACAGACCATGGCAAATACTAATGTCAAAGCCATTGTTGTAGTTAGCGTTAGTGTAGAGAATCTTGAATTACTAGAACGTTATTTTAAATTTATCATATACAGAACACAAAGCAAGGCACTACAATTTATGTTTATTTGTATAAATTAAGTAGACAGACCTTCTAAAGACGAATTCAACGATATCAGGTTATAAATAATTTTTTGTCATAGTTGTCAAAAAACGGAGGAATTAAATGAAAACAATAATTTAGTACTACTTTTTATTTTATTACATCAAATGTGCAAAGTGGCCCCCATTATCTATTGCACAATGTCCAATTCGGTGTTCAAAGTTATCAATTACATTTTGAATAACATTTGGTGCTATGTTTTTTCACTGATACGATTTTTCAATCCTTCGATAGTGTCTGGTCTGTTTATATACATTTTGCTTTTTAGATAACCCCACAAAAAAATCTAGTGGGGTTAAGTCAGGGGAGAGTGGTGGCCATTCGATTTGGGAAAACTTCATTAAGGTAATTTCTTACATCGAGATGAAAATACGGAGGGGCACGATCTAGTTGGAACCAGACATCACCAGCAGGCATATCGTGCTCATTAGGGTTTGGAAAAATTAATTCCAGGGCTTGAATCAGCTGAAAACACAAAGATATGCGATCCGAGTATGAGATTTCCTACTATTCCAGTCTTTGTATATAATATTTTGCCTGTTCACGGTTCCATTTAAGCAAAAAGTTGCTTCGTCAGTGAAAATTATGCGATTTCTTAAGTTGGCCTATTCATAAATATGTTAGAAGGATTAAACGTTAGTTTATTTCACATATTAAGGAGCAATGATTTCTTAAAAAAGACAACTCTGTACCTTTTTCGAATTAGTTTTCTACTGACCAATAAATTTTGAATGCTAATTAGGTTATCCACAGTCCACACAGTTGTCTCAAGAAGAAAATTATTAATCCAATCTTTATTTTATGTTAGTTTTTGCGGAAATTAGCTTACATGATGATTTTTCAGGAAGCAATTAAATTTTACCAGGTTCTACATAAACGAAACTTTTCTAATAAAGACTGAGGAAGACCTCTATTGTTTTCGTGAGATACTTTCTGGGTATATAAATTTCTCTTGAGAATACGCTAAAAAAGTATTGCAAGATAGAAATTAACTCTGGGTACATGAAACCTTATACAGTTTTGGTCGGCTAAAAGACAATAAATTTCTCCTTCCTCTTCTCGTTGATACATACAAGATGTTCTTTGAATCTGTGATCTTAATTTGAATGCTCAGCTTTGAAATAAATACATAAATAGTTTTATTTTTGAATTTACATAAACTGGATTTGTTGAAAATAGTTGGAGATTGAACTATTGGAAATTTCAAAAGGATTTTTATGCACCTTACTAACATAAATAAAGCAAGTAGTAAAAGTTTGTTATAAAACCTACTTAATTTCACGCTCATCATCGTAATAAATGGCTAAGTTGTATTGCCTCATTTTTTCTTATTTTTTGTTTGTTTCATTATGGTTTCAAAATTTGAAGTAAACAATATACAATAATTAAAAAATACACAAAAATAAAATCTTTGGATCTATTTGTTAAATTATGATCGCTATTTGTAGTTGTATATTACAGGGGCGTAAGATTAACAGTTTTCAAAATATAGCTTGTATTAATATTGGGGAGTTTTATCACAACGTGACAACAACCGCTTAATCTAACGCTACACAGCTGGTGCATATCACGTGTGCACGCGACAGACTTGTCCTACGGAAAAAATGTAAACAAGTAAACATTTAGTAAATTTCAATTGTTTTCCAATTTTTAAATAAATAAAATAAAATGTTATCGATTTTGTAGTACGAAGATAGTGTTGTGCTTAAATTTTAGCCCGAATTTTAGTAATTAACACACCTTTTATCCAAAAATTATCCAAATTGAATGAGAAAGAAAAAAATTACAACGAAAAATAGATTTTTAACTTTTTATCTTCAAGGGAGTTCATGGTGAGCCCGAATAACACGAAATATACTTATTTAGATCAGAGAGGCTGCCATCATTTCCTGGACATCCTGTACATTAATTCTACAGGGTGTAACAGCGACATTGAGATAAACGTTTAGGGCAGGATCTCGTTAAAGCAAACTAAACAAGTGAGAGTTTTTATACAAATTTTGAAGAAAAGGTAACCAGTGGCGTCGGAATAAGGTGCGATCAAGTCCAAATGTTAGATGAAATAATATTTGATGTTAAAGGGGACTTTTACTTATAGGTTTGGATGGACTGTTTCCAGCTAAAACTTCTGTAAAAATAAAAGTAAACTAGTCAAGTAAGTCCAAAACCAGTAGGTCCAAAAATTACGGCAATGTTATGTACTGATCACCATCAAATTGTAGATTTAAGTTTATTTTACTTTAATTTCTTAATAGAGAATAGATAATAGATTCGTAATTATGGCTTTCTCTAAGTTACATTAAATTGTTTTTTTTTAGGTCACAAAAAAATCTGCCGCTGTTAATAACACATTTATTTGGTTACGAACGATTTGTTGCTGTCTACATTGCATTCAATTCAAAATATAATGTCAACGGTTTCTAAAAATAAGATATAAGGAGTTCGAATTTAGCTCACGTATGATTTTTGCAAGTTGCGGTGTATTTTCTGATTTTATAAGTGTCACTTAAGTAAATTTAGATTTTGGAAAATAACTACATACTTGCGTCAAAACGAAAAATTAATAACCGGTTTGAATGTTCACTTAAATTTAAAGGCTTTTAAAGAAGTGAGCGTGAATTATATTAATGACTTGTGGAAATAATTAAAATCCAAATATATCCAAAAGAAACGTTGAAAAGTGTGACGGTAAACACCACCATTTCATTCTATTTTCGTTGTTCGAGAAAAAAAGATTTGCCACCTTTAGATCCTGACGAAATAACAGTATTCTAAGTGCTATTCGAGACTCTATCTTTAGTATCAACACCGACCAAGTTGTGACAGAAATATTTTTTCACACAGCCAGGAAACTTGGTTTTCACTTTGATAATAACAAAAATCGCGTGACCGATGAAACAAGTAAATAAGTCGCCGACCCTAACAGCTATTAGAACAGCGGTTTAAAATCTAAAGTGGAACTTATTTCTGTTTTGATTTAGGAACTAGTGACCTGCGGTAGTGAAATTGCGTGTCATTATATCGAAGCGAAGTGTGGAATAAAATTTGAATTTTAAAATGTGTTAATATATTCGTTGAAATGAGAACACGATATTTTACGGGATGGCAGACATTTTTATTGCATTAATTTGATTTTTGACTACAAATTTTGGATACATATTGCCACTACTACTTGTTCATGATTCCGTACTTCGATTATCTCGCTCCGATTTATCGATATCCGTAAAAATAAGACTCTTCAATCAATTTGGTTCAAAATAACTTTAATAATAGTGATAGACTTGCGTACAGATTGAATCAAATAAAGTCAAAATTTAAAGGAGGAAAGCACATTATCTCACCTTTCAGGTTTTTAATTATGCCATTTTTAATAATTTTATAATTGGAGTAATAATATGTTCCCTGGAAATCTTTACATCTAAAAATAACAAATCAAATAAAGCTTCAAACTTTAAATAAAAAATATAATTTCTGGACTTTCGATGATTATTTCTGTCAAAAGTACTGAGGTAAGTCTTACTCATTCGCTCGTTAATCACAAACTAAACGTGGCAGCTGTCTAAAAATTGATAGGTACGTCACTGACTGTGCTACAAATACACAAAAAAAGAGTCAACTCAATAGACAAAATACAGCAAGCGCAATTTGAAAATTTCTGTTACTTTTTGATCAAACCTCGCATATATTTTTTAATTTTCAACACCCTATATCTCGAAAACGAAATGTTCCGTGACCCACGTTTGCATGAAAGTTCTTGCTTAAAACCACGTGTTTATTCACCTGATAAAGTTTCCCGATTAGAACTTGAAACGCCTTGTACTTTGTCATAACATTTCAGAAACTATAACTTTACCTTCAATTAAAATATGTTATGTCAAAACTAAGGTCCCTATTTAAAAAAAAAAATGTCTGATGAAAATCTATCCATAATTTCTAAATGAAATGTAATAATAGTAATTTATTGTATATTTTAAGTAACATTTTATCCACGCAAGAATGTATATATCCTTAAGTGGATAAAATGCAATTAAAATACGAATGCAATACGTTTTATCCATAATCTCATCACAATCATATTTGTGGAGTCGGAACTATTGGAATTTAATAAAAAAGTATTCGCACGACTTGATATTTCTTACTGCTTAGTACTCAATGAAACGTGGTAGGTTTTGTTATATCTACTGGTTGCTATATGGTACGTTGTGTATTATCAATTAGGTAATAAACAGTTCTATCTGAATTTGGTAAAAATGCAAGAAAGTAATTGTGTTCCTGTGGCTGTTCTTGAAGAAGCTCAAAAAGCAATTTTTCATTTATTGCCAGCGAAATCCAGGAACATTACGAAAAAGTGTTCGACGATTTTAACGAACGGAGGAAAAAATGGAGAGTAATGACAATAAATAAAGAAGTCATGCTATCGTATTTTTTAAATTTGAAGAAAAAATATGTAATTTTATCTATGGGGTCGAAGTATTCGACGTTGAGGGCTACTATAAAGGTCTATAAAAATTTAGATATTGGAAAATATAACAAGCTTCTTGCTTATTTCAAGAGTGAATCAAGAGGATACAAAGCAAAAAAAGCCGTAGTATTGGAAAGAGCACATATTGCAGAATTTTTGACTGGGACTTCCGATAAAGAATATTTAATGATTAAATTAATATCTCTTTACCTTTAACATGTTGTTTAGGTATATAGTGAACTTTGAATTGTTTTAGGTTGCACTAATAATGGGGGTTTCTGGTGCCAGTTGATGCTACCTACTTGTTTTAATACCTGACACCAAGAAGAGCATTTCAAAAAAATTTACAATTATAGAAGAATTTTGCGTGAATGCTGTTGAAATATACAGAAAATATACAGGGTAGCCCATCGAAAACGTACCGCAAGGCATTACAGGGTAGTAATGAACTTTTCAGCAAATTCCAAAAACAGGTAAAGTTTGCTTCTGAGGGGGACAACTTTTGGCGCAAAAAGCATAGCAAAATCTTCAACCCCCTACGTGGGGGTGCCATCCCCCATTTTTTTTTAAATGGGAATAGGTGTCAAGTGGGGGGTCATTAGAAAGGGCTATTAATTCTCTATACATCGATTCTTACTTTTTGAAAATCGATCCATTATTTTAGAAAATATGCAGCTTTGAAAATACGAACAATATTTTTGACCAGAAATGCGAAAATCGATTTAATTTTACTTCAAAACTTACGGTATTAGCTTGGTAAATTCCTTCAAAAGAATTCGCTGTTTTTTTTTCTGATTTGCGAATTCTTTAGCCTGATTTTGGTGAGCAAAAAATTGTCCGCTTTTTGTTTCGTATTTAGATAGGCCACAAGAAGTTGCTAGATAATTGTCTTGTGACTTGTAGTTGAAGAGTACCAATACTGTCGAGTCTTTTAAATTAATTAATTAAGGTGTACTCAATTCCAGAAAGAGTAGAAATTATTGAGCTTTTTTTCAAAAACAATGAATGCGGAATTGGGTCGCCGAACTGTTCAACCAACGGCATCCTGAGAAACATGCGTCTGGAAAAATTGTTCGCGAATTGGTGGCCAAATTGCGCGAAACTGGCTCCGTTCATAACAAAAAGAGGCAGGTTGAAAATCCGGTACTAAATGAACCTACGGAAATAGCGGTATTGAGGCAAGTGGCAATGGATAGTACGCTTAGTACAATGCAATTGGCTACTGCGACAGGAGTGAGTCGTACAAGTGTCCAACGAATATTAAAAAAATACAAATTCCATCCTTATAAGATTCGGCTAGTGCAAGAGCTAAATGAAGACGATTTTGATCGTCGTTTGTAATTTTACGAAATAATGACTGAACGAGAAATAAATGATAATTTCTTCTTTAATGTGTGTTTTTCGGACGAGTGTACGTTCTTCTTGAATGGTTTAGTGAATCGCCATAATTGTCGTTACTGGGCTGATACCAATCCAAGGATTTTCCATGAGACACACTCCCAACGCCCCCAGAAGTTGAATGTATGGGCAGGTATTTTTGGAAATTCCATTGTAAGTCCTTTTTTCCTTCCTGGAAATACAGGCGATATGTACTTGGATTTACTACAAAATGTCATCGACCCAGCTCTAACAAATAGAGGAGGACCCTGCTTACAATGAACACGAACTGATTTTCCAGCAAGACGGAGCTCCTCCACATTACTCGCTCAATGTGCGCAATTACCTAAATGAGACGTTTCCAGGACGCTGGATAAGACGATGAGGTGCAATTGAGTGGCCCCCTCGGTCACCCGACTTAAATCCTTTCGATTTCTTACTCTGGGGGCACATTAAAAGCAAAGTTTACAGCACTCCACCTGATACCTTGGAAGGTATCTAATAACTAAATAAATTAAATTTGATTTATTATAGGTTTATTATTATTTAATTATTCTACTAGTGAAATAAAGTTACTTAATATTCCACTAGTGGATAAAGTATCACTTTAGAGGATTCATATGTGTGGATAAAATTCCGATTATAAGGTGATTATGGATAAACATCATTTATCAAGACTGAAACAAGCAAGTTCTATATTGAATGCCGATGAAAACATTGGTTTTACTGTTAAAACAGGTGATTATAATAACTATGAATTACGCACAACTGGATGTGCACAAAAAATGGATATAAACGTATTATTTGTTTTAGTTTCATATACAGTATTCCAGACAAATAAACATTGTTAATTTTTTATACTCCTCATTTTCAATGCAACGACTTTAAAGTTTCCAATGCGTTCAAATTTTGGAAGCTGGTAGATATCAGAGATGTGATAAATCTGTGTATTTCTCTTGAAGCACTATTATTCAGATATCAGTCCCGATTGTAATCGATTCAAGAAGGAAAATAAGGAAGAAAGTGCATGTATTACTTTCATATCTTTTCTGAACAACTATAAACTATATAATTTCGATACATCTTTATTTTCTGGTTATGTATCAATAGTATGTGGTGTTAAATCTGTTATTGGGCAATCCTTTAACACCCAAATTGCTAACAGCAAACACACATCCAGCTAAAGGTTCTTCTTTAACTTGGGCATCGTTCAGATGGAGCCTGGAAGACGTCACGAAGAGAACGTCCAGGTTGGGACCTCCAAAACAAACTGACGTTACGTAGGTAACTGGCATTTTAATTTCTCTGATGATTTTTGATGTTCTAGGGTTGATGTTGATTACCTAGGGACGAACTATTTTAAATATTTGATAATAATTTTAACAATAAGACGAGGGTATTTCAAAAATTGCTAGGACATTGACAATACTTCAGTAAATAATTTGAAAAATATATGAAGGAAGATATCTAAAAAATCAAGCTGTTTCGAAAAACATATGAGTGTAATAATTTGTAGAAAATTGAAAGGCAAATCCGAAAATATTGTGGTTGTTATCGTAAAGCAGTGGCGTACTATTTTATTTAGAAAAATATGCCACCGATACCCTGTACCTCCGCCACTGGAGCATGTAAATTTTAGGAAAAACACTCAGATGTTGGACAATGTTTACATAAATACATGTGCCTAATTTCAAATTATTTAACTTCCTAATTTTTACATTATTAAAAAAAATTAAAAATATTTTTTGAAGTTTAACACCCTGTATCTTTTTAACGAAGCGTCTTAGATAAAAACTTTATAGGAAAAACTGCCCTTAAAATTCACCAAAGAATACCAGGTTCCTTTTTTGATCGCCACTTATGAATCACCCTGTATATTTAGAAGAATGTTTTAAATAATTAGTAAAAAAATACAGTTTACATCAATCTATTTGGAATATTTGCACCAGACACACAATCAACTAAACCAGTGTTAGATATCTTAAATTAATTCAAAACAACATAAACCTCCAACAAAATTAAACCACGGATGACACGCACGAAACGAAAGTCCGATTTTGAATTCGTAGATGATCGTCCTTTGGTGGGGATTGCTGTTCGATCAGTTTTATCCATCAGTTTCAAAGCCAATATAAAATTTGCTCCTGTCTTTTGAAATACCCTGGTATATTATTGTTAGTTATCTTGCACTTGCCCGGTATACCTACCGAATGTCCTCCGAATAGAGCAATCCAGAGATTGTCCGAAGTATCGATTGTCATCCCGTCCGGCAAACCTTTCAAGTGGGGATGGTCATGCAAGTCGAATACTACTTTTTCACCGCCTAAAAACAGATCAAATTTTAATTTTTATGAAATATACAAAAACAAAGTCAGTGTGTATGTGTGTGTGCACTAACAAGGAGAATTTTGAGATTTTATATTATGCCATAGCTGATGATGATTTAAATAAAAAAAAACGTCGACGTCTCTCTTGTGTCTTTAAACTTTCTTTGTATTATAAATGCTAAATTCCAAAATATCTGTTCGCCAAATGGTACTGGTGATTTCATTGGATATGAATTCGTACAAAAGTCTGTTCTACTTCTACACTTTTTCTCTTAGGTACCTATTTTTCCCGTCTCTTCATGATAATCGTAGCCATACACCAGTCTTGGTGCCGAATCTATAAAATAAAAGCGCTTGCCATCGCTGGACCAGGCTAAACCGTTGCTGATGCTAGTGTTCGGTACTTTTTCTTCGAAATTCTGCAGATCTTCGCTTCCGAACATATATAAGCTACCTCCATTTGGAGCCACGGAGAGATCTTTATTCCTCGTCAAGGTACCTGTCAAAAAATGAAAGGTTTTTGTTATATTGTACAGCTGACAAAGAAAATGGACAATGAAAGTTGTATCCCCCACAGAGGCGTAACTACGGTTATGGGTAATATTAATAACAAAAACATTACACAGAGATTGTTGTATTTCTAGTGGAGTTTCCGTGCATAAATAGGGCGTAGAGGTCATGAATTGATAAGGGCTGCTACATTTTCATTTACCATTAGGTCAGTATTTTCAAATAGTTCGTAATGTGAATATGGCCTTACAGAATGTAAAAGATATCTGAAGGTATAAAGTAATTTATTAAGTTTACTACAAAAAATTCTTTCCTTGAACAAGTGCAGAATTTCAAAAATCGCTGAAACAGGTCAATTAGTAAATAGACATTGTTACTTTTCTGCAATATTTTCTACTTTTTCTAAAGACAAATTCAGCAACATAAGGTTATAACAATATTTTTTGTCACAGTTGTCCAAAAAAAAAATTTAAAAATGTATTTTATGTCGTACTGACGACTACTTCAAACAATCATAGTCTCTTATGTACTTTAAAAACGTACCTATTCTTTATTAATCTGTTTTTACTCACTTCGAAAAATTGAAACATCGAATCAGAGAAGAAGTTCGAAACAACACCAAATGTTATTTAAAATGTAATTGATAACTTGATCATTTTTTGCTACTACAAAAACTTAACAACTTTGGGTTTTGCGATGATTTGCTCAGACTGTTTCAATATTATCTAACTGATCCCTATCGTGGTTTTAATTTATACACCTTTTCTCAGACTTCCGGCGTTCCCCAGGGTTCAATATTAGGTCCGCTTTTATTCACAATTTTTATTAATGGCATTGTTAATGATCTAAATGTTCGCTACCTTCTGTACGCTGATGATGTGAAGTTATATTGCAGAATTGACGGTTTGTGCGACTGCAAAAATTTGCAACGAAGTCTTTTGACATTGAATGCAGCTAAATTTCCTCCATTTTGTGACAACTATGACAAAAAAGTAGGTAGTTATAACCTTATATCGCGGAATTCATCTTTAGAAGGGCTATCCATTTATATTATAAAATATAGAGCGTCCTATTAAAAATAAATATCGGTAATGTTATTGGTCTGTGAATCATGGCTAAAAAATACAGAAAATAATGCAAAAAGTGACAATTTTTATATACTAATTGACCTGTTTTATCGATTTTTTTGAATTTCAACAGGAAAAAATATGAATTTTGTTCCATGATTTTGGGACACACTGTATATTTTGAATGTAACAATTAAGCAGTTATATGAAATAAATCTTTTGTGGATACATGTGTTTGGAACTGTTTTCTTAATTCGTTAGGAATCCATCACTGTCACTTAGCTAAAGAATTTAATTACACGCATTATTAATTGTTAAATTCGTAACTGAACCGCATGAAAAATAGTCAGTTGAAAGGAAATCATGGAGAAAGAAACTAAAAAACATTGTCGAAGATTAAAATTCCTTTGAAATGTTTAGTATAACAAGAATTCAGCTATTACATTATTATTAATATTATTATTACTTTATTCAAAAAACGTCTTACGTTGGTTTAAACTTGATTTACATTAAAAACAATGTTAATGAGTTATTTTACTCAACGGCTTAAGTTGTTAATTTAATTGTTTTATTAGATTGTAAAGTTAATGTATATTTTGCTTAAAGCAATTAAGACGAGCAAAAATATAATTTAGATAAAGAATAATTGGTACTGCTACTTCCTTATGATCTCTTAAGATATATTGACTTTTTACAAAAAATTGTAGAAGAAATATTCATTACCGGAAAGTTAATTTTCCTTTGTAGTAAAATATACCCATAAGAACAATAGATATGTACTTTGGATTTGCGAACTGGTTGGAAAGTGGTTACGTTACATCACATCAGGTTAGATCAGATCAGGATAGGTCAGGTTAAGATAGATCAGATCAGGTCACGTCAGGTTAAGTTAGATCAATTCAGGTCAGTTCAGATCGGGTTATGTTAGATTAGGTCAGGTTAGTTTAGGTTAAGATCTACAAGGTACTTTTTGTGTTCTTTAATAGCACTTAAATTTTCGTTTGACATCTTATTTGCATCACTCAACAGAAATTTTGAGGACCCTTGAAAACTGATTTCATCCGAATACGACGGTCACTTTGTACGTTTTTGTATTCACCTAACTATACCCAGTTTAGTATCACAATATTTTTTGAAATTATTTGTTATGACCATAAACACTTACCCAACCATAATCTTCCCCTACTGTCAACTTTCCCATCGTTAAACTGGTTCGTAGGTTTTTCATCTTCTACTTTAAGTAATTTCTCCAAAGTCGCTTCTACATTTTCACAATCAGGCCATATCATCCTGTACAGGCATCTGTCTGCTCCAACTATAAACTCATCCTGATTTTCTCCGGATGGTATTACCACAGCAATAGAATTATGACCATCTAAAACAAATACACTTCATTCCTGAGTACATACATCTTGAACTGCATATAACAAAGCACAATATAATAGTAAGCACATCGTACCTAGCTTATAAGAAGACCTTTTTGCGGTTTTTAGGTTGTACCTAAATGCTGTGGCTTGGAAAGTATCAACGTAGTACAGAACTTCGTTATTTACATCACAAAAAGGACCCTCGCTGTGCTGGACAGGTTCTGTGATAGCTAGTACTTCTACTTTCGAGCTAGAACAAATACCTCTACATTTGACATCTGACATTTTTTAAATGTAGTTATTTACACCATAAAGGAGGCAAGTATTATTTAACAGTCGATGATGATTTTGCGCCCGAGCGGAGCGAGGGTTGGCAATAGAATCCGAGACTGGTTAATTATACATAACTGCTGCGTGGTGAATAACATTTTAACTGCTCCCAGAGTTCTTTATGGTTCATGAAATAAAGATTAGGTTTTATTTTTTGACATTTCTTTCTTAATCAATTCATTTTGACATTATTCCAAATCTTTCAAAGTCGCCTTGGTTGCTTGGATTTTGTCGTTTCTAAGGTGTTTACAAATAAAGCTACATAAAAATTGCAATTTTGCTGGTCTTGAATTATTATTTCTAAATGAGTGATTTTCAATTAGAAAGTGCAGCATGTGCCGCCTGCGAATTTTTATTGTCCGGGAAGTCGAAAGAGCGCTACGGACGAGCATACAGAAATTTCAAAGAATGGTACCGGAACAAAAATACTGGTGTTTCTGAAACTTCACTGCTAGCATATTTTATGGAGAAGTCGAGAACTTTAAAGTCACCGGCGAGTTTGTGGAGTGAGTACTCAATGATTAAGTCGACTATTTTCATAGAGGAGAACGTGGATATATTAAAATACCCCAAGCTGAGAGCAGATTAATAGCACCTGATAAAACATATTTGCTAATGAAGCTAGTGACTGTCTTAAGCATTGCAGGAGCATATCGTTCTGATGAGTTATGCAAACTTACTTTGGAACGTCAATTTCAAAAATTGATGACATTATAGTTACAATTCCAGATTCTAAAAATGGTATGTCATGTACGTTTATAATTACTTCTCGCCTGGGTTCTGTTTCTCACCTAGAAATTCTCAAGAAATATATCAAGATTGGACTAGAAATTAAAACTGAAATTTCACGGTTGTTTATGCGCTATCAGGCAGGTTGATGTTACAACCAACCAGTGGGCAGCAATACCCTTTCTATGATTCCTAATAAGATTGCACAGTTTTTGAAACTAGAACATCCTGTAACATATACAGGCCATTCATTCCGAAGAACATCGGCAACGTTACTGGCTAATATAGGAGTTGATGTATTAGCAATTAAGAGACATGGTAGGTCGAAATCAGCAACAATTGCAGAAAGTTATATTGCTGACAGTTTAAGTAACAAAAATGAAATAGCCAACAGGATTCTTTACAATGACACTTTAACTCCAGATTCTACGTAGTAGTACGTGGCATCATGCTGTTTTAATGGATCATTCAGATAATATTGAGCCTCCCGTGACTGAAATGGGGTGGTCAAATCATTTTGATAAGAATGTGACAATTAGTAAACGCGAGGGAAATAATTATCCAGATTTTATAAATGTTGGGTACTAAATGTAATAACTGCACAATTACTATAAATATTCATTCGTAATAATTAATAAAATGTAATGTTCCTCAAAGTTCCACTTCTATGGTAAAATCCACTTACCTCTTTAAAAACAATGTATTTTTAGTATATTTACAATAGTGGGAGCATCTAAAATTCATTATTTAACACTTTTTATCCTTGACATTTCGTGAACATATGAAAAAAATTGCTTCATACTAGACACTATTGGCCAGCCATATACCGATAAATAAATCATCAAACTTGATCTTTCACATGTCGTCAGCCGTTAATGCTTACTACGCATGTAACGGAACGAAATGAAATTGCGAGCCCTATTAAAATTATCAATGAATTGAACACTGCCTCGCAGAAAAATTTTCAGCCTTCTCCAAAGATTAGGAGTCAAATGACGTTTGATACTGTTTGATATCACTAGATTTTAACAGGCGATTTTATTGGATGATTAAGTGTCTTAATTTCATCACAAAGTCAAGTATGTAAAGAGTCAGATATCAGTTCTGATTAGATCCGTCCGGCTGGCTGGCTATTAACCATTATCTAATCACCTTGCCCACATATCCTGCCGGTAAGGTAAGGCAATAAGTAAACCATTAAGCTGACAATAACTCAAAGATAGTCAATGAGAAAAATATAATTTGAGATCAGTAACTCTCGTCATCATAATAACACATATCAAAGCAAGGTACCCCTGTCAAATAATAGTTATTTCTTTAAGTAGTCGGTAAAGTACAAGATTTACCGCCGTGGCTGGTATTTAATACACGAGGCGCAGCCGAGCCTATTAAAGCAGCCAAGGCCATTCTGCTTTACTACCAAGTTAAACACGTAATTTCTTCACTGATCAATTTTAATTTTATTATAATAGCAAACAAATGAAGATATTGCCGTACTAATAAAAAAAATAATGAATGTTGCATATATATTGACCTGTATTTTTTTCGTATTGAAGATATGTATTTTCTCAACTACAGCGAAACAAGAAATCATCCACCCAACTCGATTTTTGCAATTGATAGATCAAACCAGTGTGACTGCGGTTTAATCTATTTTGGCTGACCTTCAAGTAAACCAATGAAGAATGAAATTATGTAAATGAAGATTGTTGAACTGTGATATTAATAAATATGGTGCTTCATGCTTTATAATCTTATCCTGCGGATTTTCTGTGAAGATTCAAACAGATGAGAGTGTAATGCCATCAGGTCCAAAGTACGATGGATATTGCAACACCTCAGATGTCAGTGTGTAGGAGACCTTGTCATGAGGCAGTAAGCGAACTTCCAAGCCTTAAAGTCATATCATGAGCATCACCTTGTTGACTAGTCACTTTAAGGTGGTTCTTCACTAAAGATCTCATCGTTTTCTTGAAAGTGATCAACTTTCTTGCCGAAATGTTCTCCAGTTTTTTTGGCACATGACAAAAAGTGCGCTGGCAACTGTTTTCATTCCAATGATTGATTCCACAGATAACAGAACACTTACCACTTTCTGGTTAGTATCCACGACTGTTCCACAATTCGAGAGAACATTTGTAGGATCCACAACAAAGAACTTTTAATAAAGGCATTCTCATAAATACGTGATGACTTTTATCTCTTTGGTTATGTTTGAACCTATACACTAGTTGCTTTCGAGTTGCATGAAATCCTCAGTCCCTTACTTCAGTTAAATAATTCTAGTCGTTTGGCATTCGATTTGATAACAACTAAGGGAAAATAACTGAGAAGCTTACCGTCCCCCTTACTTTGTTTGAAACAATCAAGGGCATGGCTTAAGTAGTATCAAATTATTAAAAAATCAATTCGGGGTTGGATTTTGAATGAGAAGAGCATGTGTTAATGGGAAATGTATCACGATGTGATCACAGTTTACTGTAATTTCACTGATATTAGGTCTCTTCGTTATCATAAAATTTTTGTGACGTCATTTTATTACAAATTTCTTCTTGATTTTGGAAATTAACGAATAAATATATTTGCCGTCTTTTTAACACTACGACATAGTTGACGTAAGAGGAACCAATATGTTGATAATAATCAAAATTCCAATGTCAGAAACCACCAAACCTTGAACTTTTATTATTGCTTGAAATTTATAGAAAATACACCATTGCACAATCCATAGGAGTATAGGGGTCATGGTTTTACATGAACATCTGTAACCACGCTTTCAGATGCAGATGTTTTAAATTGAAGAGGTATAGCGGTTGGGATTTATAGTATGCAGAAAAATCAATTGAAAAAATTAAAATTAAAAATGAATAAAATACTGATAATCTTACTGATAGACCTTTTAACTGAAATCGTACTATAAAATATTGCAATAAAAAACTTTATTGCGTAGACTCAAAAAACAAATTTGGAATACTACTTAGTCCATATTTTACATTTTACATATAAGCAGTATTACAGGAAATAATAATAAAATTCGAACAACTACTAAATCTAGTTTTAAATCAACATAAATGCCTATGTTAAAGTAGTATGACAACAAATGTTACGTGAATATTCCCTTATGTTAAAAATAATGTTTTGTTAACTTACCCCTTGTCGTAGGAATAAGTATAGAATACAAAACTTAAAAGTAAATAAACGTGTAACACCAACATATTCCTAGTTTGTGGTGAAATAAATTTAATTTTCGTTATCAGAAAATAATTTGTAAGTAGGTGGTTTGAAATCCATGTTTTATTGGTTTTATGCAATTTAATTTCAAATGTCATAAATAAGACCGATATGAAAATTTATTGGTTTAAAAATAATGTTCTATGATATCTGTTTTTTTATTAGAAAATATGTATTGATATATCAGTACAAACATTTTGTAAAAATCCACTTACATCTAGTTTTAGTTGTATATGTACGTGAATGTTGTTGCTGTGAATATAGATTGTTCGTTTAGAACTTTCCATCCTGGTATCTCCAAAAGTACTGTAAGATATGTTCTGTAAAGAGTGCATCTAAATGACTTCAGTTCTCCATACAAATGACATTACTTTATACGGTGGCATAGACGGGTAGCTTTGTATTGAAAAATATGGTATAATTTCCATAAATTTTGAACTTATTTATATGTACTTTGGAACTTTTTCGTATCCCCAGTATTTCCTTTGTTCTGCCTCAGACCATTTGCGAAGAGCCCCATAACCACACTGGGAGATGTGTCACAGAAGGATTTCGGATCAACGAAATTTGTTTCGGATTCCTTCCTAGAAAGTTCATCCGCATTCTCCTTTCCGTCAATGCCCTGTCATCCAACAAAGTCCAACTGTATCGTGGCTCAGTCAGCATTTGTAAATATTCCCACACAAGTTTTGAACTTGCCTTGAGTATGTCTAAAGCCTTAATTGCTGCTTCTCTATCCGAGAATATGTATACGAATTTATGTTCGTAACCTGTAAGTACTTTCTCTGCTAAACACGCCATTATCGCGAAAATTTGTGTTTGAAATACAGCGTGACATGCTTGGCTTCAGTCTCCAGGTTCTACCAATAAAATATTATAAAACTTAGATATCCCATTTGATTTTGTAAGTATCAGGTTGAAGAGTTTTGAAAGGAGTGCTCTGTATAAGAGTGAACATAATAAAGGAACATGGTTTTATTAACTCATGATCTAGCGCCCGCAAAAAGATTTGCGTTCCCAATGCATAAAGGTGCATCAAATGTTTTACAATTTTTATTAACTTTGATCAGTGTTTATAGATAGCATTTAACGGAGCACTCCCGGCGAATCTTACGCTATTAAATTAGAAAATTTTGTATTTTGCAACAATTTTTATGGTGTGTACGTACCCCCACCCCTGCTACTATTTTGTACGCCTATGAATCTGTCGATTTGATATAAATTCATTAAAAAAAATTAAAGATATCGGAAAATATAACTCTAACTAAAATAGTTTCAAAAATAAACCTCAAATTCTAAAGAATTTCCAACTAATTGTATTTCAATAATGATATCTGTTACATTTAAGTGCCTTAGTTTGATAATGATAACAATAACTGATATATCATGTAACGCATCATATCAACAATTTTTTTCAGATATTTCAGTATTAATTTGCCAAATAAAGTACGTACCTCATGTTTCAACGAAGCACTAGCTAATACTGCGTAGTATATTACGCAACAACCTTCACCGCAGCTCAATATCTCTGCTCAGAAGAGAAGTAGGATAGATAAAATTTATTATTTTATAGTTTCTTTATTAACTTGTTTATGTTCTTCGTTTGTTTATTAAAACTTATACATATTATATCTCTACTCTTTTATTTAATTATACCTACTACTTAAAATTGTAACGAATTTTAATTTAAGTTAATTTGATTTAATCTTATTATAATTAGGCTTATTGCGGAACGGAGTTTAACAGCACCGTAGTCAAATTACGAATGAAAATATTAATATGTTTACAGAAAAATCGCAACATAGTACTATTACGAAAGAGCAAGGCGAAGTAGAGGATAAAATACCTATGTATATACAGGTATGAATTTAAGTGACACCACTTACCTGATAAACCTTAGTGTTGAGACAAGGCTTCCGTGGCATATTGGAAGGAGTTAAAACATATTACTACGTGCTTTTCTAAGTTTTCTTTATAAGCCAGGAAAAAGAGCTGGGAATTGACCATTTCGTGACTTTGTTTCGGCAAGATAAATTTATCACTGTAGATGCTAAATATTATGTACAATAACGTATTAGTTTCCACAATTATAAAAATGGTAAAAAATGGTAGGTTAATTGTATAATTTTTACTTAAAGTCACTTTTTCCGTTCATTTCCACGAGAAAACAGTAAAGTACTTTTTTTTTGTCCTCAAAAGACCTACAAAACTAGCTCTCGAGCGTCAAAAAATATTGATTAGATGAAAAGTTATAAACAGAAGAAGTTTATTTATGACTTTTGAATTAAACATTTATAAACTGCGTTATTATTACCAGACCGTTTTGGTATCCCATCCTCTCATTCCTCATCACTGTCTAATAACTCACACGAAATCTGGAATCGGTAAAGTTGAATAGTTTACAAGTTATGGCCTTATAAACAAATTAACTAATTATTACTCTGGACGATCCCGAGCATCTCCCACAATCGCATTGATTTTTTTCATGGTAGATTTCATAATACATTGAAATCTATAATTTTTTTTATTTCAAATTTGCAACCTGGAAGGTTTTTTTATTTTTTAGCCTTAGTTGCAAAATGAAATATACGACGCACAAGCGTGATATAGTTATATATTATTACATATTTGGAAAGCGTATGAAAAGAGCTTTAACTTAAAAAACGTCAAGATTTGTTGCAAAATAATGGAGTTGAATAATTTTTTTCATTGTCCATCGACAGTATTAAAATGTTGCCATCTTTTTCGAGTAAATGACAATTGAATGTTAGAAAAACCAAATCAATTAAAATAATAAAAACGTTATCAAATTTAGTTTTTCGATATGCCAGAAGTTTTTTATGGATCACGTAGGTGTAAATCTTTACAAAGTGTCACTGTCATACCAACTTTCTAAGTAATGTAAGCGATATAAAAATTATGAATGAATTTAAAGTATTATGGCACATTTAACTGTCACACAAATAATTGAAATTTTAATTCTTATCGGATGCGGGGATAAGACTAGAACGCAGCAGGAAGTATGCGATTTATTTAATGAAAAACATCCAGATCGCCGTATCAGCCAATCAACAGTAAGATAGAATCTAAATTTAGAGAAACTGGCAATGTTGTAGATATTCCAAAACCTGTACGTCCAAGCGTTAGTGAAGATCACAAACAGAACATTTTGATAAGTATGGTAGATAATCCTCATAATACTTCACGACTGGTTGCATTAAACAATGAAATTAGTCAGACCACAGTGCTACGTATCCTGAGGGAGGAAAAATATCATCTCTACAAAATTCAACTTGTGCAGGAACTCAATGAAGACGATCCCGACCGCCGCTTACACTTTTGTGAAATTATAATCGATTTATGTCAAGTAAATAGAGATTTACACCGGCAAATACTTTTTTCAGACGAGGCCACGTTTTGCCTCAATGGTACAGTGAACCGTCAAACTTACAGGTATTGGAGTCGGGAATCCTCATTGGATGGCAGAGACACATATCCAACACCAACAGAAATTAAATGAGTGGGCTGGAATAGTTGACAACAGAATAGTAGGACCTTTCTTCTTTGAAGGAACCCTTACAGGAGAAAAATATTTAGAGTTTTTACAAAACGACCTTGTTCCAGAGCTTGCAGTAATTTTTTCTAACGATAATGACCCTGATATTCCTGATGACACCATATGGTTTCAGCAAGACGGTGAACCTCCGCACTATGCGCGCTCTATTCGAGATTTTCTGGATAATTGTTTTCTTAGTAGGTGGATCGGCAGACAAGGACCAATATAATAGCCCGCGAGATCACCAGATCTTACACCCCTGGACTATTTTTTATGGGGCTACTTAAAGTCCAAAGTGTACGTTAATAGATCACATAATTTAGAAGAACTCCAAAATTGTATTATAGATGAAATACACAGAGTTACCCCAGAAATAATTCATAATGTACAAGAAGAATTTCTACACAGACTTGCATATTATCAAGAAGTCGGTGGGTGGCAATTCGAACACTTAATGAATTATATTTGCTTGACATAGGAATTGTTATTTTTTTAATGTATAAAATTTACGTTTTCCTACATTCAATCGTCATTTACTCGAAAACTTTCCTATGTAAGATGGCAACATTTTAATACTATCGGATCGACAATGAAACGATCTTTCAGAATCAAGAAAAAAAATAGGGGGTTGCTATTTAAAAAAAATGGCGATGACGTCATTACTCGAAAACAAATGACTGTTGAAATACGCCTTTTATGCTAAAATATGTATTTTTTATATTAAAAATCGACCTGTTCGAGGATTTTTCCCAAATTTGTTGCGTTTTTACTAAATTTATTCCACACTTTATGCGCGTACTGTATAAAACATAATTTGTCGAGGACCAAATAAATTCGCAACTGGTAGTGTGTAATATATGTCAAAAATTCTTGTAGTAGTACTGGTAGACAAGCAATAACAACATAAGGAATGTTGAATCATTTAAAAAATGAACATACTGACATGTTTCAACGAATTCAGCCATCATTGGATAAAGGCATTCTAGAAAACCAATGATAGTATAAAATACATAAAATGATGCATCCAGAGCACATGTACCGAGTTTCTGGTGATTTCCAAGTCATTACTTTATTTTGGTACCACAATTAGGATTTACTAAGTATCCTCTTTTCTGTGTCTAACACTGTAGAGGTAGGAAGAATCACTATGAACAAAAAACTTGGCCTAACTAAAGGCCAAGGCCTTACCTTTTAGCGTTACTCACTCGTTAGATGCATCAAAGATTCTGCTTCCTCCAGTTCATATAGAACTTGGACTAATGAAACAATTCGTTAAAGCTTTGGATAAAGCTAGAGCAAAGTTAAATTTCCCGAAATCGAAAATGCTAAACTGAAAGAATGACCTCAAATACGTAAAATGTCGGGTGGTGAAGAATTTGTATTGAGAATGAATGAAACTGAGAAGATTGCAACGCAAATCTTAAAAAATGCAACAGAAATCTTTTTGGATAATCACAAAAGTCACGATTATAAAACTTTAATCGTGGAGAATTTCAGATAATTTGGATTACGTGGATTACTTTCCTGATAAATAGATGACCATTAGTGAAAGTAAGGTGAACGATTTCACGAATATCTACAGGAATAGGAAAAAAATATTCGGACAAATTGAGTTTTGACCCATATTTTTTCATTTTCACCCAAAAATTTCATGTTTTCATTATGAATTTTGACTACAGGATCGTGTTCAACGCATCATATTCCCTCGGAAATAATATATGGATCTCTTGGGTTTGGCCTTTTTTTGTCTGCGTTATTGTTTCATGGTACCACATTCAGAAGGATAGGTCGCAGTAGGCATTGATTTATATTTAAATTATTGTTAATCTTCCGTTGATACCGTCTCATTCTGGTTATAGGAAGCAGTTGTCAATATTTCTGGGCCACCCTATATATCTTGACTCTATTTTAATTTTGTTATTTATATTTCAAGAACAAGTATTTGGTACTTAGATTGCGTATTTGTTCGGTAGGCGTAAAACACCCTATGCCATGCAAAAAGTTTTTATATTGGACTCTCATGGACCTCCCACCTGGTTTCAGCGCCAGCGGTCTCCCGATATTGACTCTAGTTGCCTTGATGAAGCGAAACATAGAATGCTGGTGGCTTTGGCAATCCAAATACGCCTCCTAGGCTATAGGACTTCCCTCTAAAATGCTCCTCTCTTTGACAATGGTTTATCCGTCCCTTTAGAGCAAGAAGTGAATGTGCCAATTATTGAAATAATACTGAATTCTCTACTATCAAAACAGAAGGTGATATTTTGATAATTATTTTAGCAATCCTAAGCAGAAACTTTCCTTCTGCCAAATGTGACACTACAAGAAAGAAATTAATGTTATTTTTTGCATTTTGACAGGTAATACAGAGTGGTCAAATGAAAATGAAACACAGCCATTTTCAGGAACTGCGTCAAGATTGTAGAAAAACGCTCAGACCCGTCGATTTTAGATTAAAGGGGGACATTCTTTGCTGGTATTTTTGACTCCGCCACTTTCACCCCCAAGCAAGGGTAAGCATCACCCCAAAATATTTAAATGGCATTGGGGGTTGAGTAATATTTCTTTTGAAAGCTCTTACAATTCTCTTTACAACAGACTTTAAATTTTATAATTCCGCCCAATACTTTGAAAAAAATTTACATTTTAAAATTTAAATTATGTTTAGTTGCTTACTTACTACTTAGTTGATTAAATGTTCAAACTGATGACCGCCCGCTTCCATACAAGAATAAAGATTTTGTTCGAAACGTTCGCGCACATTCCGAAGCATTTCCGGAGTGATTCGACGGCATTCGTCGACGATTCTTTGACGCAAATCTTCCAGCGACGCTGGCTGTGTTTTATAGATTTTACTTTTTAGGTATCCCCACAAAAAGAAATCAAGGGGCGATAAATCCGGTGATCGTGGAGGCCACTCAATGCTGCCTCTTCTCCCAATCCAATTCCGTAGAAAACGTTGGTCCAAATACTGACGGACAATTAACGCATAATGCGGAGGAGCACCGTCCTGTTGAAAAATCAAATGATCTTCATCATACTCTGGAACATTTTCAATAATATCAGTCAAGGCAGGGTCAATAGCGTCTTCCAGTAATTGCAAATACATTTGGCCAGTCAAATTACCAGGTAGAAAAAAAGGACCCACCAGCCGGTCACCGAAAATTCCAGCCCATACATTTAATTTTTCCGGTTGCTGTGTATGCACCTCGTGAAAAACTCTTGGGTTTGAATCGGACCAATAGCGGCAATTGTGACGATTTACCGTCCCGTTCAAGAAAAAACTGCATTCATCAGAAAAACAGATGTTAAAAAGGAACTGTGGATCGTTCCCTGCTCGCTCACTCATTATTTCGCAAAATTGCAAACGGCGGTCATAATCATCCTCATGAAGTTCCTGGACTAAATGTATTTTGTATGGATGGAATTTATTCTTCTTCAAAATGGTTTGTATGCTAGTTCGATTGATCCCAGACACAGATGCCAGCTGCCTCGTACTTAATGTAGGATCAAGATGAACTTGTCCCAAAACTGCAACTTCACTAGCTTCATTAACTATAGGTTTTTCAATTTCTCGTTTTTTATTGGCTACGTTCCCTGTCTCTTGAAATTTTTTTACTAACTCTAGAACATACTTCCTTCTGACATGTCGATCTTGATGTTGTTCATTAAATAGCTGAGCTGTTCTATTCGTACATTTATTGTTCATAAAGTAAAACGAAATGATATCTACCCTTTTAGCAATGGAATAAACCATAGTGTTTAATTTTCAAAAACAATTAATAAACTACCAACCAACGCTTCCAAAGAATACTAGAAAATAATTTGGAATCCACTAACTTTACGTTCATTGTGTGTATATAGCATTCATTTATGTTTTTTACAATTGTGTTTTTTTTTACGAAAGTGATAACAAATCGCCAAAAACCAATGAAATACTAAATTTATACCATTGGCGTACTTAACTCGAATGACTGACATTTTTACCGTTACTAATTGTTTGTACATAAGTTTCAACTTTAAAATCAAAATTCTTAATAAGTATTGGGCGGAATTATAAAATTTAAAGTCTGTTGTAAAGAGAATTGTAAGAGCTTTCAAAAGAAATATTACTCAACCCCCAATGCCATTTAAATATTTTGGGGTGATGCTTACCCTTGCTTGGGGGTGAAAGTGGCGGAGTCAAAAATACCAGCAAAGAATGTCCCCCTTTAATATAAAATCGACGGGTCTCAGTGTTCTTCTACAATCTTGACGCAGTTCCTGAAAATGGCTCTGTTTCGTTTTCATTTGGCCACCCTAAATGTTATTTTACTAAATTTAAAATCGTTTACTAAAGTGACACTTTACCACATGAAATGTCACTTTACTATATAGAAATATCTTTGTTAATAAAAAATCCTGGTTATTAGGTACCGGTAAAAACAAAACAACTTTAGGATGATTTAATTTGTGTTAACAATATATTATGTACCATTAAATTTTTTATCTGATTGTTTTGCTGCAGGTTTTACATAAACAGCAAGCACACAACCTAAAAGATCTCGATCGTCAGGTCGTAAGATGGATGCATTTAGAAAACGTTTGGAAGTACCCACGTAAAGCAGGTTCCCACGAAAACCTCCTAAACAAACAGAGGTTAAGTAAGTCGCAAACATTTCGATTACTTTAATGACTTTTGACGTTCTAGGGTTGACATTGATGACCTGTGAACAAGTTAGTCTCTTCAGAAATAATATATTTTTAGTTTATTTACACTCACGCGATGTCCTTCGTAGAGGGCGATCCACAGATTATCAGAGGAATCAGTTGTCATTCCATAAGGTGTACCAGTCAACTTGGGATGGTTTCTCATGTCGAACACAATCCTTTGATCATCTGGAATCACATAAAACTTAAATTTTTCGACACGGAGTCATGGCATCAAGCAAAATGAAACAAGTCATTTATCATTTATTTGTACATACAGGGTGTCCAAAAAGTCTGGAAATACCTGAATAATTTCTCAGGTAAATTATTTTTGGAAAATGTTAAGGTCATTCCTGTAGTAACGTTTGGCGAGGAATTCAATGGTGACCTTGGATTTGACCTTGACGATGACTGAAGGTTATTTCAAGGTCACCTCAATTTTTTTTATGGAACCTCCTTTTTCGAATGGGCGGGAAATTTTACGTCCAAAAACTCTAAGGTCTTAAATCAGGGTTGACCTTGAAGGTCATTCAAAGGTTAATTAAATTTGAGGGCTGGATATCTCCAATGGACGCAGTTGATGAAAATAGTTTAAAGCTCACTTAAGTTATTTTGTTTAATTACAATTAGTGGTGACCTCAAACTCGACCTTCTTGGTGTCCTTCAAGGTCATTTCAAGGTTTTTTTTTACTGAAAATCTCATGTGACGTCGGCAATCAAAAGAGCGAAAGTTGTCATACTTTTACTTTTAGCGTTACCCAGGAACATCGACGTGGACGTAATAATTTCTGTTCCCTTTGGGGTGCTGTATTATCGTGAGTACCCTTGCTCTCACGTTTGGGGTGTTTCATTATCGTGAATAAAGAAATTGACCTTGAAATGACCTTGAAAGACACCAAGAAGGTCGAGTTTAGGATCACTACTAATTGCAATTAAACAAAATAACTAAAGTGAGCTTTGTACTATTTTCATCAACTGTGTCCTTCGGAGATATCCAGCCCTCAAATTTAAGTTAACCTTTGAATGACCTTCAAGGTCAACCCTGATTTATGATCTTAGAGTTTCCCGCTCTATCGATTGCCGAAGTAGAAAACAGGGGGTTTCCATAAAAAAATGGAGGTGACCTTGAAATAACCTTCAAGGTCATCGTCAAGGTCAAATCCAAGGTCACCATTGAATTCCTCGTCAAAAGTTACTACAAGAATGACCTTAACAATATTCAAAAATAATTTACCTGGGAAATTATTCAGGTGATTCCAGACTTTTTGGACACTGGTTATACAATGCATAATAAAATTGACACTTGACAATTGGTTTATTCTGCACTTTATGGAACGTTTTTTGAATGATTAACCTGTGACTGATCTTTCGTTCATATTTCTTTTAATACGTAGTAACCAGATCTTTTTCTTACCGATGCTTCCAGTTTTTTCTTCAAAATCATAACAAAATACCAGTCTTTGCGATGAAACGGAAGTATATAGCCGCTTGCCGTCGTTGGACCATGTCATACCATTTGTGACGTTCGTCGCTATTTTCCTAAAATTCCCTAGATCATTCCCATCAAATACGTAAAAGTTACTATTTTCTGAAGCCAATGAGAGGTCTTTGTTTCTCTTTATGGTTCCTAATCAGAAATACAAAGTTTTAGGTCTCTATTTCTTTGGAAAAAGGAGGAGTACATTCTTTGTTCCACCAAATATGTTTACATGGACCATTCATAAATGAATCAAAGCTACGTGACCAGTAACTTTGTTTGGAACAGTATATTATTTCCTTCACATTAACAACTAAATTTCTATAAAATTAAAAATTATTGAAGCAATAACAGTTTGTCAGTGTTCATTGCAAACGAATCGTTAATATTAGTGAAATTAAGATTTAGGGATTTACAATGGTTTTAGTTGCCAGTCAATGATTAATGTGTGTTTCTTGGTCATCCTACATACATACTCCCAACCGTGTAGATAACACAAAAATAAACGACACAAGTTGAAGGAGAAAGGATTGAAGAGAAATTACATAATACAGGTCTGGGAAAAGGTTTGTGGCGTTTTCCACGATAGATGGCGTCAATTGCAAATAACTCACGAACCACTGATCACAGCGACACCAATAAACGCTCATTGTAAAGATGACATTTCAAGCGTTACTTTGAGTGTTATTGGTGCAGTGGTTGGAATAAAAAATTGCGCTATATTTCGCAATATTATTACGACAAAGGGAAGAATACTGTGCAAACTTGTGGAAAAATTTGTTCTGTGTATGGTGCAGGTACTTTATCAAGATCTGCTGCGCGGAAATGATTTACTCGCTCTCGTTCTGGTAATTTTGATGTGAAAGATGAGCCACGCTCTGATCGTCCAATCAGTGGAAAAGCTGATAAAATTCCAGCAAGATAAGCATATAAGTTGTGTGGAAATTGGTATGGAGCTAGATATTGAGCACAAAACTGTTTGGAACCATTTACACAGAGCTAGCACGTCAGAACGAATTATGCTGCACAAATACTGCCAACTCTTCGGAATGAAAATGGCGCACAATTCATTTTAGGAGACCCTTTATATTCTCCTATTGTATCGGCACCGTTACCATCATATTTGCATGATTTTCTTTATTTTCTTTGAATCTACAATTGTTCTTACCCAACCACAGTCTTCCCTTGCTGTCAACTTTACCATAATTAAATTGCTCCGTAGGTTCTAGATCATCAACCTTCATCAATAGTTCTATACTACCATTACCGGTAACTCTGTTGAAATTTGGAACACGTAGGTTAGGCCAGGTCAATTTATACAAGTATCTGTCTGCTGCTACTATTAACTCATCGTTATTCTTCCTAAATGGAATTATCACAGCAGCAGAATTACGACCTTCTGGAACAGAAAAGAAACAGGCCAGATATTATTATTTGTATGAATAGAGTGGACCAATTTCAACACTCACTTTTCAGGGGTTTCTTGAATTTAAAGATTCTTGAAGGCTCTGCTTTACTTTAAATGTATTAAGCTGATTTACACTAATTTTAAAAAAAAATTAAAATTATTACCAAATATGCTCTTCGCCTCCATTTTCATATTCGTCATATATAAATATTAAGAAGTTTGTAGAGGTTGTTCAAATTTGAGTTACTTTTTAAATTTGCCGCCATTTTTTTTACTAAAATGATTTTGGTTTTTTGACAGCTGTTAAGTAGAAACATGGCGGTTAATGGAGGCACATACGATTGAACACCTTTATTGTTAAAAATTATTTTAAATTTTGTGAAAGTTATGCAAAGGTTGGAACAAATGGAAAAACAAATTGTCCAGCAAAGAGCACCATTCGAAATAAATTTGAAGAAACTGGTACAATTCAATATCAAAGAAGTAAATTTTACAGTCATAGTGGTCGTTCACAAGAAAATATTGCAGCTGTCAATGATGGTGTCACAGCAGAAACAAATACATCAATTCGTTATCATTCACAGCATTTAGGCATTAAACAAACCACTTTATTCAATATTTTGCATAAGGATCCTCACTTAAAAGCTCACAAGTAACAATTAGCACAAGAATTATTATTAACTGACCATGGATTACGTCGTATATTTGTTAATTGGGCTCTTGTTTGAAAGAAGAAAATGATATTTTTTTTTAACAAAGTCATGTTTAGTGATGAAGCTAATTTTGAAATTGGTGTATAGGCATGTTAATAAACAAAATTGGCGCATCTGGGGTGAAGAAAACCCAAGAATAATATTGGAACAACCAATGCATCCACAAAAAGTGACTATTTGATGGGGTTTTTGGTCTAGTGGAGCGATTGGTCCATACTTCTTCCAAAATGAAGCTGGAAACGTAGTTACTGTGAATGGTGCTCGATATCGAACCATGATTAATATTGGCTAAATTGGGGCATATTAATGTGCAGGATATGTGGTTTCAACAGGATGGTGCAACATGTCATACAGCAACGAAAACAATCCTTTTGAATCAGAAATTTGGTAATCGAACAATATCTCAAAGAAGAGATGACAATTGGCCACTAAGATGATGCGATCTATTACCATTAGACTTCTTTTTATGTTTTTTTTTTGAAAAGCAAAGTTTATGCTGACAATCCTCAAACCATTCAACTTCAGCAAGAAAACATAATTGAGCAAATTACTCAAATTGAATTATGTGAACACGTGATGGAAAATTTTGCTAAAAAATTGTCTTTTCCATTATTAACTGCAACATGTCTACATTAATATTCAATGAAGATATCTAGTTATTTTGAATAAATTTTGTAGTTTATTAAGAAATTAAAAAGTTAACTCAAATTTAAACACTACCTATAAAAATAATAAATTTTAAAAATATGTATTTCTAGAACGCGCTTCACAAAATTTGACATATTTATTATTACATTTAATGTTTACAAACCATGCTAGTAATTCTACATTTCGGTAGTCAGTGTACATCTAAATTACTTTCTGTTTAGGTAGTTCTTTCAGAAATAATATTGTAATCTAATTGTAGAAATTGTTCACCCTGTATGTATTGCATACAGTTACGTATTGACTATAATTATTTATTTGTTGTATTTTTTTTACTGTTTTTGTTTAATTAGTTATTTCTGTCACATTGGAACAAAAGTTTTTAAATAAATTCAATTCCGTAGAGAAAATAAGGTAAAATGATTAAAATATATTAAAATGATAGTAACAAAATAGAGACATGACAAAATAGACAATCACAAAATTTATCTAATAGTTTAACAAAACTGTTATTAATTTATTAAACCGCGATTTAACTTCTTCTAGAAAAATTTGTTCTAAGGTTTATGTTATTACGTGACACCTGAAAATATACGATACCTAAATTAGATATAACATTCACAGAAGAAATAGCTCATAAGTGGAGCTGTCAGAACTGAGCCGCAGGACATAGGCGTACGCATTATTTACTAAAAATCAACAAATTAAATTGTCTACAATACATCAGCATAAACACCAACGGATAGGAATTAATTACGCAACATCCGCTCGATAACAAAGCAACAGTATACTAACGTGACACGAACGTGAAAAGAACGCCATTGAATTGAGGCTCTCTCTGACAGCCTTACTCATAAGTTATCATTTGCTTTGGTAATAAATATGGAATAAGATCTAAAATAAAAAAATAATAAATTATCTTTAGAAACTCAAAAGAAAACACATTAACTTGCTTAGACATTCTAATTAAAAGGCATAATGACAGAATATCGTCAGATTCATAGACTACTAATGGGGCGTTTCTTCGTAAACACGTGACTATTACTATAATTTTTTCACTCAACGCGATGACATTAATGATAAGCTTTTACACAAATTTGAGGTTATTCTGTAATAGTTTCGAAATTATCTAGTGTTGCCAGATTTATTAAAAATATTAAAATTCTGATATTTGAGGTTGTTTTTGAAATCGTTTCTTACTTATATTATATCATTGGAAAACCAAAAAGCTGCTCTATTTGCTCAGCTTAAAGTTCAATATGGCGCCCATAAGAAAAAAGAAAGTTGACGATTGTTTCTCGTAATCGAAACGTCGCAATAAAAATCTAAATATACAGTAAAATTCCTTGAAAAATTTGCTGGGAAAAAGTTTTTTAAGGTTTTAAAAATTCCCCTATATAAAAAAGTTACAGATGATTTTCAAAAACGTCACGTTTACTTTTTTTCAAAGTAACCTGAGGAGCTGCAAGCGCCATTGTGTTAGCAACAGAACTGTCTAAAACTGTACCCATCTAACCATTTTCCTATCTCTTATAGTTTCCAAGATACCAATAAATGCATCATCAAAACGGTCACATCTGACTTTAGAGAATACTTTCTAAGTGCGAGATATTTCTGTCAGAATTATGCAAATAAATATAGACAGTAACAAAAGTACATATATCCCACCTAACTTATACTTTTTTATTATGGTATGCCAGTCGTACTGCTTATAAACTGTTGCAGCAAAAGTGTCAATGTAGTATAACATTTCATTTTCTATATCGCAAAAGATACCATCAATGTGTATTGCTCGACATTCCGCCATCATTACCTCATCATCTGCTAGAGATCTAGAACAAACAGATGTTTAATAATTTCTAAATTTGGTTAATTTTTAAATAATGATGTGGATTTGCGCTATTCTTTGTTTTCATCGTCTGGTACAATCTATTGAAATAATTTGTTTGACAACAGATACGTACAAGTCAACTTATGCCTAAAGGAACTATTCGAGATCGTGTACCTAAGAATATGCCGTCATTCATGCATGATTACAAGCCGATTGACCTTCGATCATAGGCAACCAACTTTGCGTGATTGGCACTATCAACTAAAAATCTCTAAACCTCAGTGGAGCGGTTGAAATGTATTTAAATAAAATTCTTTTTGAATATGAACCGTTGATATTAACTTAATACATAGTATTAGAGAGGTACTAACATATGAAAACTTTTGACATGTACTTATTTGACTGAGACAAAGAATAGCGATGAAATGTAATGAAGTGACGTCACTGTGCAGTTGACAATAAAATAGTTATTACAGTTAATGGAAGGGGCACTTTATTTACCCCCGTTGAATATATTTGTCCTATTAGCTTACCCCAGCTGAATTTGAATAAGAAAGTAAAGGCACATAAGATACAAACACTTCATTTTTGAGAAATACAATCAGCATTTATCGCTACCTGCTAGTATAATCGAACTAGCTCGTTTAATATCACGCTCATATTGATTTAATGCAATTTCCATTGTCGTTTGCATTAAATTAGAAAATAATTTTATGTACAATTTTTTAATGTCGCTGATCGCAACAATTGTTTTTCTTTTATTTAAGTAAACGCTGATACGTTGATAATGTGTTTTCAGATTTATTTCAATAAAATTGTTTAGATAATATTCCTAGAATTAGAACACGACTACTACTACTTTAAAAATGTACAGGGTGTCCCAAAGTTCGCGTCTCGGGCCCATAACAGACGAACGAAAAACGACAGTAAAAACCTATTTAGATGACATGAATGGGGACTCGCTAAGGTCTGTTTTGCACTTGAAAAACATTTTTATCAAAATTCGGAAAATAAAAAAAATTACGTCAACTTTTTTTTCCACGAAAATACCCATTTTTATGATAACTAAAATTATCTATTTTTATGAACATTTTTTGTGCACATTTTTTCTATCTCTTCCTGAAAAAGTTACAATAACAAACATTATACAAAAATGTATCCTATTGTACTGATTTAATCAACATTGCTGTGAAAACAATGGCTGAAACTGCTGTCACAAGTCTGTTTACATATTAGTTTCTGTCAAACGTTATTTCTTCCATAACAAACAAACTAGTAAGTGGTTGTTAAAAATTAAAAAAATATTCACAAACAATGATAAAGTTTAAGTGTCGTTTTTCGTTTGTCTGCTATGAACCCGAGACGCGAACCCTATACAAGGTGTTTTCTAAGTCCATGCCATAACTTTAGGAAGTTATTTCTTAAACAGTTTTGGATTACAGCTTCCTAAAAAGGTATAAAGCTTCATCTCAGTTAATTTTCTGGACTCTTGACTATACCCATTTGAAACTGTATTTCTAATCCTATGTTCCTCTCCAATTTCATTGGTTAATATGTTTATTACTCAGTGATACTAGTTTTCCGTCAATGTTTGCTTTTATTTATTTAAATTATTAACTCTCATTTCATAAACCTCTGTATTTAAATAATTTGGTTAAATTTATTCAAATGTTTGATTTTGCAAAGACCAATTCAACGAAGATTCTGAAATTATTTCGTGAATCTCAGAATAAAACAAAGCAATCCACCAAATATACCTCATTATTAATTTGTATCTTTAGAAAATAGTTATCGGTAAAAAATTAAACGAAAAAATCTTTGAACTTTTAAGGAAACGTTTTGGTGGTGAAGTATATTAACTTAATAGCTTTACAAGCTTTGGTTAAATTTTCTGTATACTGGCAATGTATAAATAACACGTAATTTCATATTAAATGTAAAACGCCTTGTATATTGTAACACTTTTGTTTAAAAAATATTCACAATGAACTCCTTTCTATGTAGCACAGTTTCCTGATATTGACCCAAATCCTTTGATGAAGCGAAACACAGAATGTCGTTTGTGTAGGCAACACAAATACGCCCTTAGATTAGGGGAGACCATCCAAAGTGCTCTTCGTTTAAAAAAAAAAAATGGAAAGTTATCCACCATGACAGAAATATAAAAAGCCAGTATCATATTAGCCTCATCATGAAATCATTTGATCATACGTAAGAAGTTGCCTATAAAAGGATATTTGTAGATTAAATCTTTATGCACCACACACAAACCACTGCATAATTCAAATGTTTCGATAAAAAAAGTTTTAACAATGAATTCTCGCGAGCCTCCCTTCTAGCCTGCAACTGTTTCCTAATATTGACCCAAATCGCTTTGATGAGACCAAACGCAGAACGTTGTTAGTGTTGGCAAATGCAAATACACTCCCCTAGACTAGAGGATTTCCGTTAGTTCAGTGCTCTTCACTTTAATAAAGACGTTGCTCCCCCTGCAGGGATTGTCAACTGCCAATTACTGGCGTTTCACATCCTCTTTTACTAGAGCAGAAAATTGAAAAATATGTACTGCGGTATATGCATGATAAAGAATTAAACAGAAATGTACATATACTTACAAATATATTCGACAAGGAACTACAATTTATACAATTATACAGGATGTAAAAACTCGACTGGCAGAAATATTTTTCGCAAATGAATTGACCCCTTTATGAACCCTATTTATTTACTGAATCCTTTAATGACTTACCAAAATAATACGAAGACACATTTTTAGAGCCACTAGCGCTTACTGTTGCTCTTGTTTATAATTATTTACACAAATCGCTCCACTTATATAAGAATGTGCAGTTAACCTAGTTTGCCTCATATTGGGAGAAAAATAAAATGAATTTTGAGCTTTCTTTGGTATTAGAAACAACTTTAATAATAATAGTCCACGGGCCCACGTACAAAGAAAAAAATGATTACCAGCAAGCTGTAACTTTGCGTGCAGCTTAAGTTTGACGAGTCTCCCAAGATTTGACTACGAGAAAAATTCAACAGTGGTAAGTTTTCCCGTGATTTTCAGGAAAACATGTCAATCTGGCATAAACATGGAATGTTATGACCAGTACTTTTTTTTAAGTTTAAATGAAAGATATATTATTTTTTTTAAACCCCCCAAAAAATTTGTCCGACACAAATGTTGGTATTTTGAGTTTGTCCCCCACCCCAAATATGTCGATTTGGTGACATTATGGTTGGTGACAACCAGCAAGCTGATTTTTCTGGGAGGGTTTGGTAATAAGATTTGAAATGAAAGTATCTTATTGTCCGGCAAAATTCTTGAGAAGTTTTTGCAGTCCGACGCCCCGAAGATGTCAACTTAACGACAACATGGTTGGTGATAACCAGCTGTCGGACAAAAGCGTCATTATTTAAAAAAATTTCATATTAATCTAAGAATTTAATTGTCCGACAAAATTATCGTTTTTTTTGCTTGTCCGACAAAATTAAACGATAAAATTTTGCGGTTTCAATACTTACGCATGATGTAGAAGAAAAATTTATATTTAATAAAAAAAATATATGAATAAAAAAATTTTTGTTCAAATTTCTCAAGTTTCAAAATAAATATGACTAATTTAAATTAATTTTTTTATACAATTACAAAAAAATTGTATACAGGGTGGTTCCGAGCTAATAGGTCAAAGTTCATGGGTAGATTCTCAAAGCACAAATATTGCGATTTAGCCGAACTTACCTTAATCCAAAAGTTGACAGTTAAAGAGATACAGGGTGTTAAATGTAAAATATTATTTTAGTTTTTTTTTTCATTTATTCTTGAACAAATGCAAATATCCTCACAAAATTTTGAGGTTTGGAGTTCATTAAGTAGAGGAATTGAAATGTGTTCACATTTTGGTTAAAGTTCATAGAGGGCGCTGCCTGCAGTAGATTGAATGTTTTAAAAAGGACATAACTTTTTTATACTTTAAGGTATCATCATCTTTGGTATCAAATTCTTATTTTCCAACTTTTTTTACACAAAAAAACTACACTATAAAACTAGCTGTCTCGCACCGTTTTCGAGATATTTGGCTTTGAAACTTCCAATGCTATTGAATTAAATTACAATGAAGTACCTACCTATTAGGTATTAATTTAGCGGTGAAGTTTCTTAAGTTTGGACGAAAATCAAATAATTGACATATTTCACTTGTGCATGCTGTCATTTGTATGCTACTATCCATTAAGTATTATTCGTACCTAAATTACATCTTAATTTAAATTGTATGTACATAAATGTGAGATGGAATGCCGAGACTTCCGTTTTTGGGGTTACATGAAATCAGTTGCTTATGGAGAAACTATAAATACCTGTTAAGAACTTTGGCAGCAGGTTTTAAATGCTGCAAAGTCATTTCGCATTAAGGATTTATACTTTTACAACAAGACAATCTTTTAATAAACGCGTTGATAAATATATAATAATATTTTTAAAATTGGTTTAAAATTGGTTTAATTGGTTCTTCAAGAACAAAACTAAGTATGTGTAAACTGTTTGTCAAAACAAGATTGCAAATTTTAATTTAGAAAAACACACGCAAAAAAGTATGCATTCATTGTACAATTACCATTTTTTATAAAATAGTTACAATAGTTTATAAAATAAAATGTACGTATAAGTTTTTTGAACAAAGAATCATTTTGATGGAGATTAATTAAATTAGTTAGACATAATTATTTACGAATTTCAATTTCTGTTGCTCCTGTTAACAAGATAATTTTCTTATTTATTTTTCTTTATTTTTTCATTAAAATATTAATTATTTTATAGCGGAATGAACATTAGGTACCACAAAAATAGTTATTTTTCCCATTTTTAAGGCAAATTTTCCAATCTTTTTGGCGGACAAGTATATTATTATGTTATACATTTCAATTATTAGAGAAAAAAATCAAAACCAGATTGCAGGTTATCACCAACCATGTTGTCGTTAAGTCGACATCTTCGGGGAGTCGGACTGCAAAAACTTCTCAAGAATTTTGTCGGACAATAAGATACTTTCATTTCAAATCTTATTACCAAACGCTCCCAGAAAAATCAGCTTGCTGGTTGTCACCAACCATAATGTCACCAAATCGATATATTTGGGGTGGGGGACAAACTCAAAATACCAACATTTTTGTCGGACAAATTTTTTGGGGGGTTTAAAAAATATATATCTTTCATTTAAACTTAAAAAAAGTGCTGGTCATAACATTCCATGTTTATGCCAGATGTTTTCCTGAAAATCACGGGAAAACTTGAATTTTCCTCGTAGTCAAATCTTGGGAGACTCGTCAAACTTAAGCTGCACGCAAAGTTACAGCTTGCTGGTAATCATTTTTTTCTTTGTACGTGGGCCCGTGGACTATAAAATTTTGTAGTAGTCCTTACAATTAGGTCGCTTTATTCTTAAGGCAATTTTGGTTTTTCCAAGTTTGTGAACGCCCTGTATAAATTTTTAGTTTTCTGAAACTGGTTTTCGAAGTCTCAGGTCAAGTAAAAATGTTTATAAAGAACGACTTTTTGTTGAAAAATGAAAAATTATTTTTTTACAAGAGTACCTAGTTATAAGCCCTGACACACAGTATAACAAAAAAAAATAATTTCTATAAATTTTCATTCACTTTTACACATCCATTTCATACCTATATGTTCAATGAAGTGTAAATTAAAAAATGTTATTGTTTTAAATACATCTACATTCTGTCCATTTGGACAAAAAAATTGTTCAAAATACCTCAGTAAGCGAATTCCAATCTTCCCTTTTTGTCTAATTTTATATTCGGAACATCCTTAAAATATTGGAATTACCTCCAAACAAACACAAATTACTTGGAAATAATGTTTCCTTCGAAATTGTTTTTTAAAAAATCTCTACCGCATAAATATGAATTATCTTGCCAAATTCTTAAGTGATAAATGTGTTCTGATATATATTGTTCTATTCTAGGTGACCTGATGTTTTTTCTGGCAGTATTCGTGGCTACCTGGACCTCGTAGTTGTCAACTAATGGATCCGTGATTGGCGTTTCGTCAGAGATTTTCCAGTTAAATAGGTAAGAACACGCGTAAAACTAATTGCTGTTAGTACAAACTGTGAAAATTTAGTCTCTTTGATCTAATTTAAGATCAAGGCAAGTATTATATCATAATTTTTCTGACAGTTCGTTTTATTTTTAAGTACAGGGTGTTTTAAACTCGCTAGTATGAGCCTACTGTGAGGATACAAACAATTTAAATAAAATTTGGGACACGTGGGTGTAAGCTCTATTTTCAATCGAAAATATTATCTATGGGGTTTGACAGAAACGACCCAAGTTTTTTTCCTGTTAAAAAGCTCTATTTTTTCTAATAAACTTTTATTATAGAAATTTTTCTGTATTACCCATTTAAAAGTTACAAGCATTATCGTCCCAAAGAGTCTCAAAAGAAATTCCACCTAAAAATCACATTAGCGGTGAAAGAATCAAGTAGTCATTGAAAAATAACTGAATGTTCGCTATCTGTCCAGATGTGCAGATAGTCTATTTGCACCTTCAAGTCAAATTATGTCCGAACCTATGGACGACTGATGACATGACAAAGATTGCATCTCTTACTCCTGATTACAGACAGGATTATAAGTTAATGGAAGGAATTATTCGTAATTTATTTAGCAACGACATTATACCAACTAATCAACATAATTTCTTACTTCTTCTCCAGTTTGCTCCAGAAACGTATGTACATTATATGAATTCTGATGAACAGAAGAATGCAATTTATTTAGACCTGGAAAATACATGGTTTATGTGGTGTGCCCCAAAATTCATGCCCATAAATAAAATAAAAATAACTTAATAACTTAAAATAGTCCCCATGCTGGGGACTATTTTAATTTTATATATTGGACCTTACAAGAAACGGTGCTTCGGAATTGATTTCCTTTGCATCCCTTTTCATCCTTGATGACCTTGATCTCATCAATGATTGGTGCTCGAAATCGTTCCTACCTTTTAAGTATATGTTACGTGATGCATATGTCCAAAATCAACATCAAATTTATAAGCTAAATACATCATCTTTCCCCTAAGTTCAAATAACCTGGCATATAAAACACAGTTATGTTCAATTACTGTGCTGATTTATCAACTTTGTAATTAATTCGTTGAAACAGCTTTCGTCAGCAAACGTCCAAAAGCTCTTTTTTAAATCTAGACCATTGTGTTGCAGCTGTTATATGCACTCTGCCAAATTCGAATTTCGAAGTTTTACGAATGTCTAGACGGGATTACAAAATAATCTGTGAGCCACATGGAAATTCCATTTATAGTTTTCTAGAGGATTGGGTATATACCGTATGTGGGGATTGTTCAGATATCCCGTTTCAACTACATTGAAGTGAGAACGGAGATTTTGATAGGTTTAAAATTTAAAGGGAAACGAATAAAAAGTAGATTGGAAGTGCTTTTATATCTGTTTGTATTTCAATGTAGGAAAGTATAATCATCTGGGGAATAAATTTGAGCATGCAAATTTTAAACGAATTAGTCTCTGTCTGAAGCAAAGGAAATACCCTTAGGGAATTCTAATTTGCTATAAAAAAACTTTAACGGGGACAGTGAAATGGGAATAAGGGCACCAGTCTATTGTGAGGGGATATATGTCCTAAAGAAGGAAAAACTAATTAATTAATGGCAGAACTATTTAGAGCTTACTGCACAACTATGTTGTGATACTTTGCCATATTGTATCAGCTATCTTTTATCCGCGGTAACAACATTCAAGCAAATATTGAATAGAAAAATGTGTGATTTGAAGGAGCACTGAGACATTTCTCTGCAGGTGATTTTCAACCATTTGAGGGATAAGTTATATTATATTTTTTTGGTATGTTGTTTATCTACAGGGTGTGGCGTGTATAATCTACAAAAATTAAACTACAGCTTCCTGATGATATTTATAATAGAAAACTCATATACGAAAAAGTTCTATCTTCGCGTTTTTTTTGTAAATTAAAGTTCACTTATTCAACGAAAATGAAAGCCGTCCCTGTGTTATTTATTAAAAACTTTGGAAATGTTTTTATGCGACCCGAGACGCAACATTATAATTTAAGTCGGTATAATCTAATACTTGTAATACTAAAAGAAGGTTGTTACATTGTCAAAAAATTTGAGCAGTCAACTGATTTTGTATTTATATTGAATTAATTATTCACTTAATTATTAAATATTGAGTATCGTCCATCAGTCTTAAAATGTGAAAAATTCCAGACAAATGTTTTTATTTTGTAATTCCGCGATAGTGACAGTGTAATTTTTATAAAGAAGTAAAAAATAAGAATAGCGTGCCGATTACATTAAAAACGAGATTCTTATTTCTTACTTTGCTTAATTTTTTTAATTTGTGCACAAACTAGTTTTACAATGAACCGAGCATTTACTATTTCCGAACGTGACAATATGGTGTCAGTGTATAGTGCAGCCGGAGAAAATGCGCTCGCGGCGACTAGGTTGTACCGGAAACGATGGCCACAATGTCATCCCCCCATGTGCAAATACAATCCTACAGTGCGTTCAGCGGCTGCGAGATACGGGAGGTGTTATTCCTCGAGGAGAAGGACGTGGTCAGCAAGTGAACCTAAATGTTGAAGATGCAGTGTTGGAAAATCTTGACGAAGACCCCACAATTAGTACTCAACGACTCGCACAGCAAGTAGGAACCTCATCTCGTACCGTACATCGCATCTTAAGGTGCCAGCTGTTTCCAGTGTCATCTGCAATCAGTTCAACAGATTTTACCCCCGGATTGCGATCAACGAATGCGTTTTTGCAGATGGCTTTTACGGTAATGTGCCAATCAAGTAGACTTTCCTGCTTATGTTTGTGTAACAGATGAGGTGACATTTACCTGTGATAAAGCGAATTTCCATAATATGCATATATGGGCCGATGAAAATCCTCACCCGATTAGGGAAACTCATTTTCAACATCGGTCCTCGGTAAATGTTTGGGCTGGCATAATAGGCGATGTATGTACTTGTGGGTCCCTATTTTTTTGAAGGACGACTAAATGGACCAACATATGCTGACAATTTGGAGAACCGGTTTCTTGAATTATTGGACAATGTGGCATTACAAATTAGGGCACGTATGTTTTATCTTCAAGATGGAGCTCCTCCACACAGTACTCGAGAAGTAACGACACTTTTGAATGAAATGTTTCCTCAGCGATGGATAGGACGCTTTGGTCCTGTGCCGTGGTCACCTCGGTCACCCGATCTAACTCCAATGGACTATCTTTGGAGTCACTTTAAGTCATTGGTTTACAATACCCCAATTGCTACGATGAAAGAATTGCGAAACAGTATACTTGAAGCTGCTGACACAATTAGGGGAATACCTGGAATTTGGGAAAATATTCGCCAAAATTGGGTGCGTCGGTGCCATGCCTGTATCCGCGCTAATGGGGATCAATTTCAACATTTTCTCTAGAAATGGTAAGTTTTATTTCATTTTGTTCCATATTTTAATGGAGTTTGTTTGGTTCACGCAGTTGGCAACTGCAGATGCTTACGGATGTGGTTTTGTTTTCGAACACTTGCAATAACAACAATGCATTTAAGATAGTAATTACTATTAATTATTATAATAAGAAAATATCAGTTTCTTTAAAAATATCTGTTTATCTTAGTTTATACTTTTGCATTGAAAAATTCTCCAAAAATTGAGAAATGTTTTTCTATCTTTCAACGACGGTTTGTTTACGCGACTGGTCTACAACACGTAACTCATCGCACAGCACACGGACAGGACCGTTCCAGAGAAAATATTTTGATCCATGACTGAACTTTAATTTACAAGGCCATGGTTTTTCACATTGCAATAACATTCGTCATTTGATCTTATTCTTGGAATTGACCCCCTCGTATATTTTAGATAATACATTATTAGATATGTTTATGATCCTGATTACAGAGGTTCGTGACATCACTGATACCATTTTTTCTAATGGATTGGCTAGACCAATTCAGAACGAAACAATTGTAAGCTTCCAAGGAAATCACTTATTTAATTATTTATTCGGCTTGGCCGACAACTTCTTATAAATATTTAATTAACGTGTTGATCGACGAGCGCGAGTCCTTAATTATTTACGATAATTGTTTATAACATTTGGAAAATAGCGAGCTTTGACAATTTATAGTCTGAACCGTACTGGGAAATAAAAAAGTCGTAGTTTTCCATGAACGCTATAATAGCAAGGTGTTAAGGAATATTAAGATAACTGTTTTGAACCGGTAAAAGGAAATAAACTGAGATAAAGCAAATATATAAAAAAATAATCTCCTTTTTTTGTAGGCGGTGCTTAGGAAAACGACCTATTTATTTATATAACTTCAAAATTTTAATACTACAGAATGTTTCCTATTGGGCATTCCCATATGAGTAACTAAATAAGAGGGTTTTATTCTGTGTATTCTGTCGACAGCAACGGCAGAGTACCGCCATCTGTAGCTGGTGCAGCAAACGCCTCACTCGGAAACCACAGACCATAAAATAATTAAGGAAACTGCATTGTTTAGTTTATCTAGTTTATGACAATGATATTTAAATTAAAATTTAAAGAGAGTCTGATTAAAAAATTACTTAATAATAGTAATAATTTAAATCATATTAGAGAAAAAGATAACTCTAAATTGGTATTATAAAATCAGAGTAGAGTCAACAGTCACTCAATTGGTAGTTAGAGTAACTTGGATTTGAGTAAAATTCACTCATTTCTGATGCAATAGTTACCCTCAGTTGTACTCATGCTAATAGAGTGAAAATTTCACTCAGTCGGGTGTGGACAAAAATTGAAACATTATTGAGTAAAATTGAGTAAAATTTGAGTGATTTTTTGTACAGTGTACGTGTCCTTATCTGAGATACAGAATGGTCAAATATTAAATCTTTTGGGGTTTCTTCTATAGATTACTGTTATGTTAAAAAAAATCCAGTCCGTTTCTCACTAATACGTCTTTTCTAGATTTTAAAAACTATAATAAACTTCCTATAACATTTATTTTTACACTTTTTTCATATCTCGTAGTATAAAAGAGATAAAACGATGGTCAATTTTTGCGTGACCACCCTATATTACAGTATTTAAAAAAATAATAATAAACAAATGTTAAATATAAAAGTTGTATGCATTTTCCCGAAGCCCCAGAATTTGGTATCGAATCAAGCAAAGGAATATCGCAAAAATGAGTGTAAACAGACTTAGATACATTACATAAAACACTCCTTGATGATTCCTGTGACATAAAGTGTAATGGATGCATTAAACGTAAGAACAAGTGAATATAGGTACCGTGTCAATATTTAACTATTTTCGTCATACAGTAAGAGATAACCATTTAAAATTCATAACATTTCATAAAAATTCATAAAATAACATAGCTTTCACCCAAAAATTGTCCAAGCTGAATGAAAAATAAAAAAGAATATGAATAATGAGAATAAAAGAGATTGCCCACCATTTCCTGATTATCCGGTACACAAATATAAACTGACATCATTCCACTAGAGAATCAGTCTTTATTTCTGTAGGTTTTCAGAATGTGCCGACAATTAACTGAATTTATGCTATAAATTATTATCGATCATCCATCGCTTCGCTGGCATGTTCGTCACAGTCAAATATTTGCTTTTAATAAAGACTACGTTGATTTTTATTTTCCCAGTAGTAAACAGAACTTTGTTTGAGTCGTAATACTTCGCTGCTAGGGGTGTCTAAAAGTCTTCGAGGAATTTATTTCGTGATAATTAAGTCTCTTGTGTATACGGTGTACATTTGGTCCAATAGTCGAGAATCTTAATTTTAACATAAATCTTGAGGACACTTTTTTTCAAATGACAGTTGATCAGAATGATGACAGACAGGTATTGTCATAAAAAATTTAACTGGAGACTATAGGAGATTCTAAAAAATACAACAAAACGCAGGGCAACTCATACAAATCGATAGAACACTTAACTGTAAGAGTTAAAATAATTAATGTTTAGTGAATCGCTAGGGAGAACACATTGGCCAAAATTGTACATTGCTTCTTAAATCCCTGCAAATTCCTGGAAATCGTTTGTAAATCCTATATTTTTACATCTTTTTCTTTCAATATCTTCTGAACTTTATACAAAGTGACTCATAACATATTTCCATTCTACATTTAAACGTATGAAGAGTGTTCTAATAAACATCTGTTTTCCTTCAATGCATACATCTAAAAAAAAAAATAAGTTAGGAGGCTGGACAATTAAATAATGAGACCGATTTTTTTGCAAGATGTGGCAACCCTGCAGCTTGCGTTGATACTCCATTTTCGACCTTGATCTTTAAGCTACTTCTAGTCCAAGCGGCACAGTGGTGCGATTGCTCAGTTTTGAATTGTGCTAGGGAGGATATGGTTTTGTCACTCATAACTGAAATCCAACCCAAATTTATTGAACCGTGTTATCACTGGTGATGAGACTTGGTTTTTCCAGTATGATCAAAGATCGCAATGGTGTTCAAAGAGATCACCCAGACCAAAAAAGCTCGCATATCCTAATCTAAAGTGAAATGTATGTTTGTGTGCTTTTTCGATCTAAGGGCATTATATTTCTATAATGAAGTTCTCGAAAGACTTCGAAAACGGATTCTCGTGTCCGTGCAAACATTGCTGATGATTGGATTCTTCATCACGATAATGCGCTATCCCATACTGTACTGTCTGTACAGTTCAAAACGTATTACAGTACTACCATAGCCACCGTATTCACCGGATATCGATCTGTGTGACTTTTTTCTATTTCCAGGGTTCAAAATGGCTGTCAAGGGACCCCATTTTCAAACAACAGAAGATGTCAAAATCTCTGTAACGATGGTCTTAGAGGACGTTCCAAAGAAAAAGTTCCAGGAATGTTACCAGCGCTAGAGTAAGTGTCTGCAAGCAAAAGGGAACTATTTTGAAGAAGATCACACTACAGACGACTAAACACATTACCGTTATTTTTTTTCACATCAGTCTCATTACTTAATTGTCGGACTTCGTATATGCCATCTGAGATATCCTAAGTTGGGATATTTCAGATCTATTTCAGGTTGTATTGTAATTTTATTCTATTCCCTGTAGAACATGCAAGCTCTCAACAGGTTCTGCAATCTGCATACACTGTACCATTAAGGTAACCCCAAATAAAAATGTCTAGGATATTTAGGTCTGATGATCTAGGTGGTCATTGCGCCGGTCTACCACAATCAATCCACCCTTGGTTTGTAAGTTTCGTTTATGTACCCCTGAACCCATAATGAGCACTATCGTACTTGAGCCACAAACCATGTCTGACATTCAGTAGCACGGCTGCAAGTAATGGCGGTAACGCTTCTTAATCAATCAATCCACTATTTTTGTCCAAATTCAATTAATCCACTATTTTTGTCCAAATGTGCAAACAATTTATGTGCGCCACTATGTGAAATTATGAAAAAATCCTTCGATACTGGTCAGTTACCATTGGATTGGAAATTATCTAGTGTGACACCAATTTTCAAAAAAGGTGACAAACTTTCCAGTACCAATTACCGACCAATCAACTTGACGTCTGTGCCATGCAAGGTTATGGAGAGGATTATTTGTGAAGAGCTCATCAAATTTTTACTGAACTATGATATCATACCTCAACACCAACATGGATTTCTCCCTAGTCGTTCGGTTGTGTCGAATTTACTGCAAGCTGTTAATTCCTGGACTATATGTGCAGACAACGGACAACCCTTAGATGTTCTATACTTAGATTTTTCTCGAGCCTTTGATAAAGTGCCGCACTCCCGTCTGTTGAATAAACTGAACCACTTTGGTGTCCGTGGCAAACTTTTAAACTGGATCAAGTCTTTTCTAGAGGATCGCCAATTTATGGTTCGTGTTGCTGACAGTTTCTCCGAAAAACGGAAGGTATTAAGCGGTGTGCCGCAGGGTTCAGTCCTTGGACCAATTTTATTTCTAATATACGTGTCAGACCTTACCAATAACTGCAGGTCTCAAGTGTTATCTTATGCAGATGACCTTAAATTGTTTTCCTCGCCTTCTTCGCTTCTACAAGAAGATCTTGATATGATTCTGAATTGGTGTTCTGAATGGTTGTTGCCTCTTAATCCCGAAAAGTGCTGTGTACTACACATGTCCAAAACCAATCCTAGACTAGCATATAACATTAATGGAATCGAACTACCGAGTGTTACACATCAAAATGATCTTGGCGTTGTTATAACAGAGTCTCTTTCCTGGAGTGCACATGTTACAAAAGTTGTGAAAACGTGCAATCAATTAATTTTCATAATTAAAAAATCTTTCTGTGACCTCACCATCAGCATGTTTCTCAAGTTATATAAATCCTATATTCGCCCTCAGATAGAATTTGCCGTAGCCATATGGTCTCCGTTATTAAAGCAGGACATTGCAAGATTGGAAGGTGTTCAAAGGCGTGCTACAAAACTCCCAGTTGGTTTTAAACATCTTACATTTGAAGAACGTTTTATGCGCCTCCGTCTTCAATCATTGGAAGTGCGACGTACTCGTGGTGACCTCATAACAACTTCACACTTCACTTCATGGTGAATTATACTGTCCAGAAACGATATTTCAACTAAACACTGATTCTCGTCTTAGAGGTAACTCCTTCAAACTTAAGAAAGAAAATTTCCACACTCGCAACAGACATAATTTTTTACCTAATAGAATTTTCGACCAGTGGAACTCCCTACCAGATTATGTGGTTTCGGCACCATCTCTTAATTCCTTTAAGAATGGACTCGATGGCCACCTTAATACCCAAACAGGATAAAAAAATTTTTCTACAATATGCATACATATTTTATCTTATGTTTTTACTGTTTACATTCGTGTCATTAATTTTTGTTTCTTATTTTTCTCTTTTTATTGTATTTTTCTTATCAACCATGTGTAGGATAAGCTTTTTTTTGTATTAGAGCTTAACAAGCATTTGCTTTAGCTCTTAAAAGTTCTTAATAATAATAATAATAATAATAATAATAATAATAATAAATACTGTAAATATGCAGAACTGAAGTATTCTTTCCTTTAAATACGTTTATACATTATAACACCCTGTCACTTGTCGTACAATATTTGGGCTATAGTTTTATGGTAACCATCTTTGTTCGATTTCCTTCCGTGACTGCTTTATATCGTTAGTGAAGATGATTTTCAAATATTGCAGGATTTCACCGACGTAAATCTCATTCGTCATTATTTTTTGCAGTTAATCACATCTTGCGATGTCTCGGGGGAAGCCCGCCCAAACCGATCAAGGCTGTCCCTATCGAATGGGGTGTCCTTCACCGACCTCCACCCCCGAGGAACTAGAGAGGAGGGCCATCATCCAGAGAAATGACCTGCTGCTACACGAAGCAGTCATCAAGAACGACACCGAGGGTGTCAGGAAGATACTCAAGGAGCCTGTAGATATTAACTGTAGGAATAATGTAGGTGTTATTGGTTTTTCAAGTTTTTATACAGGGTGGTTAAAAAAAATTGTCGAATATGAATTTCGGAAAATGTGGAAAACTCGAAATTTTTAAATGGAAACCCTTAATTTTTTTAACGTATTCGCATTCTGCACTAAAATTTAGTGTAACTTTGTTAAAGTTTCCTTATACCTAAACCCAGTGGTTTTCATTTTATTTACGAATAAACATTTCCCTTTTCTTAAAATGATGTTTCCATCTGTTTCTCACATTTTAGGTTGGCCATGACAGATAAGTAACAATCAACATGACAACTGTCACAGGTTTTTAATTGTTAAATTTATTTAGTTCTTTGCTGTTCTAATACAATCCGGTGATATATGCTATTTATTTGGGACACTACAAAATAGTATGTAACAACTAATGGCTGATTTACATTTTGTGAAGTAACAAGTATCATTGATGATTCCTAAAATCTGTGATGCTATATATATAGTTCTTCAGTCCATTTCATGACAGGAATATCGTTCGTACTTATTTACTTGTCAAAAATAACGGCCTGTCAAACAGTTAAATAGTGTAGTTCGGGCGGGCCACGTTTGGCGGCGCTACGATTGCGGGGAGTACGCGGGTGTGCGGGGTTAGCTACTTAACAGAGAAAATAGACCGTGCTTCTATTCACTTTACTTTGCACTCGCACTTCGCACTTGCACTAATCACTTAACAGCGTGAGCGTTTACACTTTGATTTTACTTATCACTTAACACCTGCACTTCTTACCTGCACTTGCTACTTAACAAAATGTAAATCAGCCATAAGGAAAATTTTATGCATAGAGTAAGGCAAGCATTTGAGCATCTACCACCGGATTCTATTAGAGCAGCGACCCACAACCAACTAATCTGAAGGTGTGAAAAATGTTTAGAAGTTGAGAAGTTGAAGTAAGACATTTTGAACATTTATTAAAATAAATTTAACAATTAAAAACCTGCGACAGTTGTCATGTTGATTGTTACTTACCTGTCAGGGCCAACCTAAAATGTGCGAAATTTTGCTGACAGTCTGCATCTGTCAATTTTTGCTTAAAAATCAAAATATCTCGGAAACGGTAAATCCTAAGTACGGAGTGTGCTATATGTTTTCATCTTAAAAATAGATACTCTTTCCAAAAATATAATAATATACAGGGTGTTCCATTTAAAATAAGAAAGTTAGGATCGACTTCCGGTATAACCGGAAGTACGATGACCTTGAAAGTATTTTTGCTTGGTAGGCCCCACAGTCCGTATCACACCATCACAATTTCAAAAAAATCCTTCCAGCGGTTTCCCAGATATCCATCGATGGATTTCGTGGTGGGACACCTTGTATAGATTACTTTCCGATTACACATAAACATTGTTATTTTTAATATAGTCCACAGTACAGGCCCCCCTTGGAAAGTTGATTACCACATACTTTATAACTCCTGAGGTGCTTCGTTTTGACGAGTCTACCACATTTTTCCTCCGCGATTTTTCTCGATTCCTCCGCTTTTCCACTCGGAAAAGTCCAAAAACATGGCAATTTCCCGGGGTCTTGAAAACTCAAGACCACATCTTTTATTTTTAGCTTAAGTAACTGGAAATTTTGTTGCAAATGCCGATTTAAATTTGTCCGACAGAAATTCCTCCGACATTGACGTGTCTACCGGTCGAAACATGCCAAAATAACAGGGTATTGAAAATCAATTACCACATAGGTAATTTTTAGTAAAATTAATTGTAAATAATTAATTCAGTCAAAAAGTATTGTTGTCCGACAAATTTCAAGCCGCGTTTTTTCAGTCCGACAGCTGGAAATCGGAATTTTCACGGGGTATGAAAAATCGATTACCACATATCTAATTTTCATTTTTTCCACTTTTAAATTTACTGTACAAAATAGTGATATAAGTGTCCGACGATTTAATGTCCGCAAATTATTAAAAAATCAATAAATCAATAAACGTGATGAAATTTAATTTTTTCACTCCAAAAATTTCATATTTATAAATGGTTATTAATTATTATTATGTAAATTATTATTTGTTTCAAATAAATAATTATAATATTGCTTATTTTATGCTTAAAAATTTAAAAGTTATAAACAAATGAAGTTATTTTTGAGGCGATTAATACGATCTTAGTGCATAATGCATTATTTCTAAATAAATTAATATTATACTTGATATAAAAATCCTTTTTTCTCTTTCAAGTTTTCATTCGCGTTTGTTATTTTTCTTTACAAAAATTTTCCTATTTTTCTAAAAGAAAATCCCAAAACTTTTGTGCATAATTTTTTTACACCATACATACTTTTTTGAAATCGTTTAATTCTTTTCTCGATATTTATTTGGCTAAATTGAGCATATAGAGATTTACAATTACAAGAATAAAACGAAAAATATATACAGGGTGTTTCAGAAAGACCTCCCGTAAATAAAGGGGGTGATAGTATGACAAAAAATGAGAATTTTTTGTCTTATGAACTCTATGTCTATCTCCTCTTGTTTTCGAGATACAGAGAGACAAAATAAAATTTTTTAAATAACATTTTTATGAAAATTTCCAAATGGTGCGAAATATTTTTATGAAATTTGGTAGTCCGAGGTTTTTAAGGGTGCCAAATACGCTAGTCTAATTATTTTTTGTATATTTCATAGAGGGCGCTAGTTATGCTACATTCTTATTACAATTTAAGTTATATTTTTTTTAAGGTTAGATTTTTTACCAGTCGGGCTCCAATTTCTATTGTACAATTTTATTTTCTAAAAATAATGTACTCTTGTTAGAACTTCCTAATGTGGACGATTTTCGAGAAAAAAGGCTTTTAATTAAACTCTTACAATATTACACTATAAAATAAGTGACTTTTCTCAAAGTAAGCTTGAGCTTTGAGAAGAGGAGATAGACATATAGTTCATATGACAAAAAATTCTTATTTTTTGTCGTCCTCACCCCCTGTATTTACGGGAGGTCTTTCTGAAACACCCTGTATTGTATATTTATATGGAATTTTGCTTAATACATGAAAATACCTTATTAGAAATTATAAATACATGTGCACATTTTTTACGAAATTTTTTTCATCATTTTTTGTCGGACTGACGATTTGCGGATATATTTTTGTCGGACATTACAATTTTTGCTTATAAAAAACACTTTTCTATCGTGTGTTATTTTTGTCCGACATGTGGTAATCGATTTTTCATACCCCGTGAAAATTCCGATTTCCAGCTGTCGGACTGAAAAAACGCGGCTTGAAATTTGTCGGACAACAATACTTTTTGACTGAATTAATTATTTACAATTAATTTTACTAAAAATTACCTATGTGGTAATTGATTTTCAATACCCTGTTATTTTGGCATGTTTCGACCGGTAGACACGTCAATGTCGGAGGAATTTCTGTCGGACAAATTTAAATCGGCATTTGCAACAAAATTTCCAGTTACTTAAGCTAAAAATAAAAGATGTGGTCTTGAGTTTTCAAGACCCCGGGAAATTGCCATGTTTTTGGACTTTTCCGAGTGGAAAAGCGGAGGAATCGAGAAAAGTCGCAGAGGAAAAATGTGGTAGACTCGTCAAAACGAAGCACCTCAGGAGTTATAAAGCATGTGGTAATCAACTTTCTAGAGGGGGCCTGTACTGTGGACCAATAACTAGTACAAGTACTTTTTAAATTTATCAAAAGGCTATATAAACTTGAAAGGGTGCTTTTTAGGACAAGATGGCCATCGGACAAAAAATCTAATTTTTACTTATAAAATATACCATTCCGTTTTTTAGCATCAGCCTTGGAACACCCTGTATAGAGTATTATATTTAATAAATTAAAGCAAACATCCTCTATAGCTCAAAATATTGTTTCATGCAGTATTTTTAAAACATTAAGTATATAGTTGGCATTGGATCCTGTAGTTTACCCACTCCCTTAAATAAAAGTGAGATTTTATATAATGACGCCGCATGTCAATAGCGAGAAGCCTGTCATCCGAAACAAGTTATGGAGCTTCCAAGTTAAAGCCATCCGCGTTGTAAGCACAAATTTTGAAACAATAGCGGGGAGTTGTATGGTTACAGATTATATTATTTGCCAGAGACAATGCCACCATGAACAATAGAGCGTATACGCTATAACCGCAACTCGTCGATATCCCATTCATATTATGGGAGTAATTCAAAAATGTGTACGCGAGATTGGCATTCACAGCTGAGGTATCACGTAAATCCTCTGAAATGATTTTTCCGCGACGCCAACTGCATTTGAAAAATTTATTGCCGTTTTATGATTCAATATTAAAAGTGATGTACATGTGGCATCATTTAATCATTTATTAACGTATAAATGATATTGTCAAATAAGCGTTTGCAACAATAAATCAAATTAAAATTATTAAACACTACATGTATTTAGTGAAAAAACAACAACAGACACCCTTAGAGTATCGATTTTTATCAGCTTTGTACATGTTGATCCAAGAAAGTCATTCTTGGCTTTCGAACACCCTGTAGCAAAATACAGTAAAAATTCAGACTGTGAGCAAACAAAAAAACTCGAGTGTGAAGATGTAGATTCCGGTAGTGTTATTAATTCTGATATTTCGGGTTGGCCAGGCACAAAAAAAGTGCAAACCCAAAGATCTACACACATACAGTGCCTTCATAAATGTCCGAGTCCCACGTGACCGCGACTGTTAGGCAACCAAACTTACAATGGAATCAGTGACACAAAATTTCCTAGACAGAAAATGGAGTACATATTACAATTCTTTACAAGCATTCAACTTTAATTTGCAAAATATATTTCTTTTTTCAATAAAAAACAATTATTTTTTACAATTTTACTTACAAAACAATCATACTCATTTAAGATATTTTGAATTTTTATCCCATTCTATATTAAAAAAGTATTTTTTGATTGGAAGAAGTTGTCATTTTAAAAATATTAGACCTCTTTAGCAGTAGTGACGTCACATACGCCAAATAATAGGCAAC